GCACTGTACACGATGATAAAAAGCAACAACTTGTTGGAGGGCAGACCTTCACTCTGGCATGCTTTCTCAGCAAATCAATCATAGCTGACGAAGATCAGTTCTAATTTATTCAAATATTTTGACACAAAATAAAGCATGAGGGTGGAGGCGGCAACTGCAGCTCTCCGGTGGCTAAAGAACAAGATGCATACACGTCGTAATTGTAGCAGACTGAAAGCATGCTGAGAAAGGTGAAGACAGGGATGCTTCGAGCAGAGTGGCTAGCTTCACTGGGAGGGTCACAGGTAGTGAGCATACTCTGGATCTTTTCTCCAAGCAATGCCGACGTGGTTGGCAATGAACAGGCAAAAAAATTAGCTGGATCTGCACCACTGGGTGGAGAACTGATACATGACCAAGGCAGATGTGGCCCTCTGGGAACAAGCAACGGAATCTGTAGTGATAGATTATTATGTCCTGGAGAGAATGAGTCACCTGGGTGTAAGCAGAGGGTTTGGCCGGCTCACAACACTAAGGGGAAAGGCAAGACGGACGTATAACCAGATTGTGACCGACACCATTTGTATTGGAGCTCTGCGCTGGCTGCTGAAGATGGGGAAGCCCCGAGTGCTATGATGTCAATTCTTGACTCAAAGATCAGTTTAAATTTTGCATCAGGTCATGCAGGTGTGACAGGCCGTCTACTTTGGAGAATGGACTAGCAATAGGCTGACCGGCCATACTGAATACTTCGAGAAGTGAGACGTTTGTACGAATCAAGTGATTTCTTCTCTTTTCGTTCGTCTCTAATAAGTTGTTTAGATTAGCAATTTTGTCTCTCCTTCAGATTTCACTGTCGTATTTAGTTCATTCAGTGGTCCATGGAGTTTACGTTCCACTGTTGTTCTTTTCGGCCAAAACATTTGACTTAATGTGTCATATTCGGTGCAGTCCTGGAGCACATGTTCTGCTGTCTGGGTTGCCTTTCCACATGTGCACATGGCTGATACGCCTATCTTGAAATGCATGTACACGTGGTTGCGTAATCGGGTGTGCCCTGTTTTGACGCGAAGGACAATGACTTGTTTTTACCTTTCCGCAATAGAACAGTCGTCTTGTGCTGGGGCTAGTGGTTTCAATTACATTGCGGATCTATGCTGAAAACCGAGTTCTGTCAGCAGTGTACGCAATTCTAGTAGTTTTCCGGCATTATGTGCTTCAAGTACAGATTTTGCATCTGTTAGCATTACTACAGACATTGAGCCAAGTTTGGTATTTATCAGTTGCTCTGTTACTATCTTGATATTCTGAATTTCCTCATCACAGTAATGGCAATACCTCCAAGCTGGCACCCTGGTGTTATCCCTAGTATCACCTGGGAATTCTACGTACTTTACCGCACCACAGCTTCTAACTGCATTTTGTGCTGACCCATCTGAATAGACTTTGACCCAATGTCCTTGGACGTATTCTTCATAAACATAGCTGAAGGTGGCCATTCTGTGTTGTATACTATCTTGCTCTTTTGTGTGTGAGTGAAAGGGAGTAGGGTCAAATATTCCTTTTACATTAGTCTTGATGTGCATTCCTAGTCTGCATATTTTTTTCTCCATGGCTTTTGTTTTGGAATACTTTAAAGTGGACAACCAATTTCAGGAAGGTCAATAGTTCGTCTGCATATTTTTTTTACTTGGTATATGAAGCTGTTTCTTTTCAACCGTCCAATTTCTAGGTTCTGAAATCTATTCTTCGTGTGGTGCTCTGGCATTTGGAGAAACTTTTCTGCTTGTATTCGCAACTGTGTATCTCTACGTTAAATCAAGTGGTGACAACCAATCTGTAATTGCGCCCAGACTGCAAACAAAAGTGAACTAAAAAGAAAAAAAAAACTAGACAAGAATACAATGCAAAAAGCCAAAGAATTTTAGTAAACCAACGCAAAACTAGTGTCGCCTGCTAGCAACACGCCCAGGCCTCCCGTCACTACCTCCCAACCCCCACCTTTTAATTAATTTTCCTAAGCCAAAAGTGGGGTGGGTGGGTTACATAAAATGTCCTTTTAAATTCATCCCATTTTACTGTCATAATTTTTTTTCTAGATTCATAGAGAAACAGCAGATCACGTGGTTTGGCCATCTTGTTAGAATGTCGCAAGATCAAATACCCTCACAATCACTACACCTCAGAAGATCAGCTACACGAGCAAGAGGACTGCCGCGGAAATATGGATCGACAACATTAAAGATACTCTACGTCTTCAATAGCCAGTGGCAGCCAATAGCCAGTTTCAGCCAACGTGCACTGGATCGCAATTTATTCCTCCCCACGGCGCTTAATGGCAGAAGTGGTTTATGATGATAATGATGAATTTTTCTCATATATTTGTTTCGGAATGCATTAAACTTTCGTTCCGTGTCTTTAGTGGTTCTCCGTCACTTGCATATGTTAAAGCAAAAATTATATTACTGCCTAACTTGATTTTAAAACTATACATTTCTCTCTCTCTCTCTCTCTCTCTCTCTTGTTGTATCCCACCAAGACATCACATAAGCGATAAACACCCGGTGACTCCAGGTGCCCCCCATGCGGATGATGATGATCACCCGTGGAGAGGTCTCAGAAACCCCGTTCAGCCGTTGGGCCATATTAAGAACCCGGCTATATTCAGGGCCCCCGGCAGAAGCCAGGGTGGGGATTCAAATAACGAAAAATTGCATCACACACTACTATACAGTTCCATATTTTGTTGAAAATATTTAAAGCTGCTGTCATGCCAATGCGCGTCATAATTTCTTTCTTTGTATTTCCTTCACTATCAAAATCATTCACCTAATAAGTAAATTGATCAGAAAAATATCTAGTTATTTGTCATTCTCAGACCAAATACCCCATCCCCAACAGCTGAGGTGAAAATTTTTTGGTTTCTTCTAATAATGATAGAACGAGTCGACAGTAATTTTTTTTTTACAGTTCACTATGCTGAGTTTAGTTTTTTCAAGAACCGACATCACAGCATTCCCATAAGCGCTCCGTCGCCATCTTCAGCAGCAAACGCATAAATCAAATACCAATGGTTTCAGTAGCAACCTGATTAGTTGTCTGTCTTGCCTTTCCTCTGAGCCTCGAGCATAGGCCAGATCTCTTAGTCATTCATGAATGCGTCACTCTCACGAGACCGTGATGATTAATTTTCTTTTCCAAACTATATAAATTTTCCAATAAGGCCTTAACCACGTCTGCCTTATCGTGCATTGGTATTTCACCCTCATCATCATCAGTTCTCGTTATGCTTAGTGGCACATAAGACTTCAGAGAGGACTTTCCATGCTTTTCTGTCCTGTGCAATCTTCAGTGCAGTTTTCCCTGTCAAAGATGCCGCACTCAGGTCACTTTCCATCGTTCGTCTCCATCTTGTTTTTGGGCGCCCCCTTTTTCTCTTTCCCTCTGGTGTCCATGTGAGAGCTGTTTTGGCAGGTATATCAGGATTCATTCTCATAACGTGACTGAGCCATTTCCACCTTCTCTCGGTTATCATACTGTCTAAAGTTTCTTGGTTTGTGACTTGAAGTAGTTTAGTGTTTAGATTGTATCTGGCCCAAATATTTTGATAATTTTACGTAGACATGTGTGGTGGAAGGTGGACATCCTGTGTGCATCCTTTTTGGTCATTTTCCAGCATTCCGCTCCATAAAGAAGAACTGGCAAAATGATGCTCTTGTAGAGTCGGAGTTTCGTTACTCTGCAGTAACTTTTTGATTTCAAAATTTGCCTCATCCTTCCAAACGTATTTCACCAAGCTATGTGCAAAGACAGCCAATATGTTTACCTGTTCATTTCCCGATACACCGGCATATCGCGGAGAGAAGATCTGAACAATGCCCATCAGCCTTAACCTCTGAAGCGAAGCAGACCACTCTGCACGAAGCGTGCCCGTCCTCACATTCCTCAGTATACTTTCTGAGTCAGTTACAATCACGATGTGCATGTGTATCGTGTTCTCTAATCAGCAGAAAGCTGCAGTGACCGCCCCACCTCCATTCCTAAGCTGGGTGTTGTGGTATTATATGCTAGGCTCTCTTGCTCCGAACTCGACCTTCTGCTGCCTCTTATAGTACACACGAATTGCCAACATAGGAATTTAACCATAAGAGATAAGCAAAGCCGAAAAAAAAAAGACACAAAAAGGATGAAGTAGGCATCGCATTCGCAAGGTTGTGGGCTCGTTTTACGGACGCATCTTTGTTCACAAGTGCAGTTTTATGGAGACCCTCTAGAACTGTTGCTGAAGCTATGGAGTTCGTGCTTTGTGCGATGTTCTCCTTCGAGAGCTAGCTGTTCAACGGAAATAGACTGCGCTATATGGGATAAGCTGGTACAATTAAGCCGATGCTCTCGATTTGAACTCCTGCAACAGCTGACAGTTAAAATAGTCATAATTGAAACTCGCTGTGCGTTCCTTGGTACCCACAGCGATTTAATAATAATATGTCTGATATATATGTTAGCCGTTTAAAATCTGTGTTATGTATTGTTCCTATATTGACATTTCTTTAATACTGTGCTAATCATGTCTTTTACTACAAATATATTACAAAAGAAACACCAGACAAGCAAAAAATAAAATACGACAGTAACACATGAACGTGTGCTACCATACACGACGCCTACTACTGTGTTCTACTGGGCATGAATATATTATCTCAATTAATGATATAGTTCCCCCAGAAAATCTTCCATACGAATACAAATTAATGAAATTCAACGAAATGTTATCTGTATAAAACAAATAGAAGAAATAACTATATAATTTTATCTTAAAGTAATCTTTCATTAGTTCAAAAGACTAATGTGTAATGGTAGTCGCACTACTTCTTTTTCTTGAAACCCACCGGGGGTAGCCATCTTTGAGGCAACAGTGTGACACTGAGTCTGTGGGGTACAATCATTCGCGATATTTTTACTCAAGGGAGACATTTTACTTGTCTCGTAGTACTGGTGCATGAAGAGATTTGAATCCAACAATGTCGACTATATTACCGATTCGGTTTCAGGAGCATGTACAAGTAAGTAATAGTCTTACAAATGAGTGTGATTGATTGTTCTTGTCTGCTGCTTTGGAAGTTCTCCTCCCCCATTTTATCAATCATACATCACGCCCCTATGGTCGGCAACGTATTTGACCTTCCATATAATTTGAATTACGTGTTACTTTTTTATTTTCTTTTATTTTCTTGTAGAGAAGCATGATAGTAAGACTATATATTGCAATTTTATGATAAAACGACATATCAATGAGTCAACGTTGATGACATTGCACCGTTAAATATGTCTAGTTCCATCATCCGGAAACGACATTTTTCAGGCATTTTACATACATTTCCAAAGACTTTAGACCTTCTAAAACTTCTCATTCTATTCTATAGACGTGGTTTCAGCTATTTTATTCACACATTTAAATTATCATGATCATTTCCACGAATATGATCTGGAGAAGATGAATAATTGTACCTTTAAAAAAGGGGGAGTGGCTGTCACTTTCAGTTACTTGTAATTTTGCTACAATTAATTGCTAATTGCATTACTAATTTGTATTACTTCCCTTTGCAACTGTCGACATTACGCAATATTACAAATATATTGATTTAATTGCTGGTAAATTTATGAACTAGTGCTTGCTCACAATAAAGGGAACTGAATAGTTTTAGTAATTATTGACTAATGGGGACTTTTGGGAGCTAACTAAATAATCAAGAGATGAGGAAAAGATGCTGGCTCTTAATAGGACTTGTTTTTAGACACCTGATAACTAGAATATCATTGCTCTGTGTCCCAAAACACAAAGAAGATAATTATAAATGGTTCTTTTCTTTTAACTCACCCTGGTTCTTGAAATCTGAAATTTCCAGGGGAGTTTCTGGGAAAGTCCAATATTCTCAGGATGTTATGAGATGACTTGGTTCCATGTTCATAGTGTGAAAAAGTGTGTGAACCGGGTCGACAGGCTTGCATAAAATTATGTGCATGCACAATTTTTCCACACAGAACTGCCCAAACTTTCCTTTTGTGTGAACAACTGTGCAGACAACTTTCTTTCTTTGTGAACGAATGCTGTGTGCAATTGTCACAGGGATAATTTGAGTGTCGGGGGCTGAAAAAAAAGGGGGATGGGGCGGAAATTACCAACAGTTTCCATGTATGTATACTCCTGGGTTACCTACAAGTTGACAATCATATATTTTTACACAGTAGAGCTGAAGATATCGTCGAATACAACAACTGACTGAACTGTTGATCTGCCTGCTGGAACCGACTGACCATATTTTCCTTTGCATTGACAAAGGAAAGTGGAAGACAGCCCCAGCCTGATTTAGATATAACATATGATGAAGCCAGAGGTTTCTAAGTACATATTGTACCAGATAGGATTCTGAAAATCTAGACTACAAGAAGGATGATGCCTACTATCAACTTGGCCTGAAAAAAAAAATTATAATCTTCAATCCCCACACAGGACATAAAAGGCTGAAGCACCACTTGTACAATAAGCTAATGATAGGAGACACAAATGAAGACAGTGAATGGGGCACTAGAAAAGAAAATAACTACATGTGAAATGCACTGTATCCTGAAATAACAACACAAGAAGAGACAGGGTTATGAATACCAGCACTAGAGAGAAAGTTGGAACAGGACCATGTCTGGATTATATTGACAAAGAATGAAATGGTTCCACCATCTAGTGAGAATGCAGCCAGACCAAACTGAATATAAGACCTTTTCCAGCAGAAAATCTGGGAGGAAGGTGAGAGGAAGACCGAGAAAGAGATGGATAAAGGGTGTAACTGAAACCTGCAAAAAGTTGAACTAATCCCACCCAAGCCAACGGAGAAGCGCAAGACAAATACTGAAAACCACGACACTGGGCTACAGCCTTGTATCAGTGGGGTGACAAAAAAAGAAGAAGATAACTAAAATTGATAACCTCCAGATGATACTGCATTTTAAAAGTATATTTAGATGCTGAAAAATATAAAGCAGTTGACCCTTTTTTTTTAATACCTTTGGCATATTGATCATTTAGCTGCTAGATCTATATTTTATAGACCAGTCAGCACTCAGTGTGTGTTGTGATCTTCGTCAGGCCAGATTTAGATGTTTAATGGAGTAGAAAGAAGCACATGTGAAAACCTTATCCTTCTATCTCTGTTGTCTTAAAATTGTCGTATGCTATATTTGAGAGCAACCAGGTCACACTGTGGTCTGATAGTGTCTTGATCTCACTGTCATGTCTCCCAATCTGCCCTCACTAGCAGCATTCAGAATTTTTCTTCTTATTTTGGTCGTCCTACTGCTTATGTCGTAATACATCCTAGATAGGAGTTAGGTGCTGTTTCCTTCTTTTGCTGGTTGGCATACTTGTTTTAATGTCATATTGCGTTTCTTCTGTAAGGTCTGTTTTACTCCCTCAACCAGTCTCGTCTCTGTCTAGGTCGGCCTCTTGCCTTTCAGCCTTCTGTTCTAATGAAGTTCGCACTAGCTGCTGGCTGATTTGGTTCCATTCAGACCGGATGACCAAACCATTTGATTCTGATGTACCAAATTCAACTCAGCAATCAGGGTGCTCCAACAGTGTGAGATTGGTTTTCAAAGACTACTTCAAGGAACGTTAGGGGGTAGTCGGGGAAGAGGAGGGCAGAGAAGAATCTGGAATGACATCAAGAAATGGTCTGGACTAAGTTATCATCATACCCTTGTTCTTTGAGCGGAAGACAGAAAATGATGGCAGGTTTTTGTGTGTTAGGGCTTCTATGGAAACACCTCCATGACCTAACGGGTCAAGGGTTATGTTACATATGTATCTCACACTCACAGAGAGCTACTGAATCAGACTGGGATTTTTCACCAGCATTCAGCTTCATTCATGTGGATCTCACACTTCCTTCACAGTGCCCATAATGTCCTTAGTTCCCCATGCATTTCCAGCAACACTTGTTTCACAAACACCCAGTGGCTCAAGCATCCACATTCACCTCATCAACCATGTCATGAATATCAGTGTACTGCCACGCCCTCTGACCTCTGGCATACTTACATAATAAAGTAAGCTAGAACACAACAAGTATATTCTCTTTCCTTTTCTTCTTCAGCTCCAAAGTGTTGGCATCAATGCTGCCAACATTGGGTTCAGCACTTTGACAATGGAGTCTGACAAGTTCATCTGTGTGCGGGAGAAAGTGGGAGAGGCTGCGCAGGTGGTCATCATTGATATGAACGACCCCACGAATCCCATCCGCCGGCAGATATCTGCGGACTCTGCTATTATGAACCCAACAAGTAAAGTGATTGCCCTGAAAGGTAAGATAACGTTAGCGGTGGCAAGATTTGATTACAGTTCATTTTGTTAATACCTGTATCTTTTCTTTGTTTGTTTCTATACATCTTCTGCCTTGTATTCCTCTCTGTCTGTTTTCTCCTTCTCATGATATGACCAAAGAATGTAGATTGTCTCCTTTTGATGTGGGCAGTCAGTTCTCTTTGTGAGTCACTTTCTTTCAAGACATCTTCATAACTATTTTTATCTGTCCAGTGTGTTCTCATCATTCTTCTGTAAAACTACAGCATCTCTGCCGCTTTCACATAACTTTAATTAATTGGCCAGTTGTCCATGATTCACTTCTGTATATCAGGATAGGATTTATGAAGCTTTTGAGAATTCTAGTATGAGTACATTATGATGTATCCAGGGTGTCCCTTATGTTTCCATACGAAGAAGAAATATTTTTTGATGAAAGCCATTTGCTCTGTTGCTGTTGTTCATCCGTCGCAAGTAATGATGACCACTTTCTTCCATCTGTCATGAAACTAACGTTGATTGTCTGTGTGTCTGGAGATGACCCAGTATGGGCCCGGAAAAATCTAGGACAGTGGGGGCAGGGTACAGTGTCTGTAGGTAAAAGGATCTGTTATATGGGTCTTTTTAGCCTGTCTTCACTGTCCAGCTGCCATTTTTCAAGATGCCTTGCATGTCTCTGCTCCTCTTTGGATTGTTGTTCACCATGTAGTCCAGTCTGGTACGGCAGCCTCTTAGGTGTCAGGGTTTATATTGAAGGATTCAAGTGATGCGTTTAGCATGTCCTGTTAGAGCACCTGCCTTCTTGAATCTCAGCATATAAAGATAGTTCTTTTTGGGAGCTGATGATGGCAACATGACCTGCCCATCGAATCTTTAACTGTATCAGGGTGGTATTGAAGCTGGGAATGCCAGATTTGTCCAGTACAACAGTATTCATGACCCTGTCTTGCCACTTGATGTTCAGTATCTTTCTTAGACAGACTGTATGGAATAATAATAATAATAATATGCTCTACCATTGTTTTGAAAGCACATATCAGCAATCTTCGTATTGTTGTTCACCATGTAGTCTGGTCTTGTGCTGCAGCCTATCAGGTGTCGGGGTTTATATTGAAGGATTCAAGTGATGCCTTCATGTGATGTCCTTGAAGCATCTTTTTTTCTATCCACTGTTAGAGCACCTGCCTTTAGACAGACTGGAAAAATATTAATATGCTATACAATTGTTTTGACAACACATATCAGCACAGCTAGAGTTATGCTTATTTATAATGTTGTTGGTGGTATGTTTTTTCCCCCCATGTATGGAAGGAAATCTACAGAACACACTGTACATTTGTGCTTTTTTCCAGCCACATCAGCTTTATGTGCTTGTATGTCACAGCATAGAAAACAGAGAGCTACATTGTTATATTTGTGTACCCTCTTTACAATCTTGCTTTTGTTATTGCAGCTGGCAAGACACTTCAGATTTTCAACATTGAGATGAAGAGCAAGATGAAGGCCCATGTGATGACGGATGATGTCATCTTCTGGAAGTGGATCTCTGTCAACATGATTGGACTGGTGACCGAGACGGCGGTCTATCACTGGGCCATGGAAGGTGAGGGAATCATACAGTCCAACATAAATAATTCCACAGCAGGTCATTTTCTCGGCACATCAGGTCATTTTCTCGACACGTCATGTCATTTTCTTGGCACATCTGCTCAGTCTCTTGACACAGTGGGTCATTTTCTCGGCACAGCAGTCATTTTCTTGGCACAGCATGGTCATTTTCCTGGCACATTTTCTCGGGGTATCAGGTTGTTTTCTTGGGGTATCAGGTCTTTTTTTTTTGGCATAGCAGCTTATTTTCTCATCACATCAGACCATTCAGGTCCTAGTGTGGGTAAAGGGGCTCCAATTTGGGGAGAAAAAAGAGAATAAACCCACTGCTCCCCAACAAACATGATGTTATAAAAGTGGACTCATTAGGGGGTTTCCTTAGAAGTCGCAGGACATATGCCTGAAAGACAAGGAGCCAAGTACTTACAGATCAGCCTAATTTGTAAAATAGGTGTGCATGCAAAACTCCGGTTCTGGAACAGGACCAAAGTCCAAAAGTGGACTGACAACCAAAACTTACTGCCACCGGTTCTGGAACAGGACCAAAGTCCAAAAGTGGACTGACAACCAAAACTTACTGCCACCGGTTCTGGAACAGGACTAAAGTCCAAAAGTGGACTGACAACCAAAACTTACTGCCACTGGTTCTGGAACAACCAAAACTTACTGGACAGGACTAAAGTCCAAAAGTGGACTGACAACCAAAAACTTACTGCCACCGGTTCTGGAAACTAAAGTCCAAAAGTGGACTGACAACCAAAACACTGGTTCTGGAACAGGACTAAAGTCCAAAAGTGGACTGACAACCAAAACTTACTGCCACCGGTTCTGGAAAGGGACTAAAGTCCAAAAGTGGACTGACAACCAAAACTTACTGCCACCGGTTCTGGAACAGGACTAAAGTCCAAAAGTGGACTGACAACCAAAACTTACTGCCACCGGTTCTGGAACAGGACTAAAGTCCAAAAGTGGACTGACAACCAAAACTTACTGCCACCGGTTCTGAAACAGGACTAAAGTCCAAAAGTGGACTGACAACCAAAATTTACTGCCAGAGTTTGGGGCTGCTGAACCTGAAGAAGAAGAAAATAAGTCCAATGTAAAGTAGTTACACAACAGACCATTCTCTTGGCACATCTTCTTCTTCTTCTTCGAGTTCACCAGCTGTAAACTCTGGCGGAAAGTTCTGTTTGTTCACCTACTGGGTGCAGTTTTTATGGAGATCCCTGAAGATCATTATGGAGCTACAGAGTAAGTACATTATGCAACACTCTCGGCAAGTTGTGCAGATGTGTTGAGCTGAAAGGCACTAGTATCACACCCGAGCTGTAAACCACAACACAGTGTGCGTGCCACCATTTCAAGGGCATATGCTTAGAAGAACAGTCAGGTTGTAAACCACAATATGCAACATCACCCTTTTAACTCTTTGAGTCCCAAGGAACGCTTCAAACGTTCATAGATTTCTACCTAGAAGCCCAATGAACGCATGATGCGCTAATTTTACATCTCTCTTGACTACCCCTTGGGCCTGGAATGCTAAACCCCCTGGGATTCAAAGAGTTAAGGGTAAAGGAAAGAAAAAAAAAAAAGTATTTTGTTTTCTGGAATCCTTTTGTAAAATACTAACACATTGCTTCTCTACAGGTGACTCCCAGCCACAAAAAGTGTTTGAAAGACACACAAACCTAAATGGGTGTCAGATCATCAACTACAGGACTGATGCAGCCCAGCAGTGGCTCTTGCTGGTTGGCATTTCTGCTCAGGTAGGTTATCTAACCCTTTCGCACCAAGAAAGCTGTTTCTCTGACGTTTTGATGACGTGAAGTCTTTGAGCTGTCTGTATAACACCAGAACAAAAATGTAAGATACTGTTAAGGCTTTAACACATTCTGTCTCAATCAACTCACCATGAGTTTATTGATTACTCCATGAAATGTCTTTTCTAAACCTTCTGCTCCCTTAGAAGCTGTTATGATAACCTGTGGTAACAAGAATGTTACTTTAACCCTTTTGGTGCCTTATTGTGACTAATTTAACCTCTTGGTCTAAACAACTACTACTATAGGTAATAAATACTTAATAATTAATGAGGTAAGTGATACCTGCCTAATTAAAAGGAGGATGGCCATAGCAATGCAAAGAATGAACAGCCTTAAAAGTCTATGGTTAAGCACCAGCAAGGAGATAACAATTAGAATTTTGAGAGCATGCATCTTCCCTGTGGCTACATACAGATGTGAGTCGTGGACTATCTCTCAGTCCTTAAGAAAGAGAATAGAGGCTTTTGAGCTGAAATGCTATAGAAAGATTCTCAGAATATCTTGGACAAAGAAGATGAATAATGTTGACATCTTAAAAGATCTGAACAGCAAGGAAGATTGGCTAATAAACAGCATCCTTTCTCGAAAGCTGAAATATTTTGGTCATATCAAGCGCCACGGCGGATTGGAAAAAATTATAGCAGAAGGCATGGTACCAGGAAGGAGGGGGAGAGGCCGACCGACACGAAGATGGGCGCAAGATATAAGTGACTCCTTGAGTGTGAAAGTTCATGAGGCGGGAGAACTGGCAAGAGACCGAGTTTCCATACAGGCAGACTGTGATGAGAGCGACGTTCTGCAAAGGACCTGCTACATGATGATGATGATACCTGCCTGGGACTGGGAGAGTTAAAAAAAATAGACACATAGACAAATAATTTGTGATGTCATTTTTAGGTTATAATAATCTTTTAGGACGTAACTTTCTTCACCGTGGCAAAGTCAACAAAAGCACGTTTATCATGCCAAATGTCCTTCCCTGTGTGGGTTTCATGGTCCTGTTGTAGAAAAAACAAGCATGTCATAAGAGTCAACTAATTGGGGAGTTCCTTCAGAGTCGAGTGCATCTGCCTGAGAGGCAAGGATCCAGCATTCTGCATACAATAAGCAAGATCTGTAAAGCGGATACACATGCAAAACTCAGGTCATGGAAACAGAGCCAAAGTCCCAAAATGGATGAACAGCTAGGTCTCCTCGCTGGGGTTTACAGCCGGTGAACGCAAAAAACATAGAGGGAAAGCAGTTAATAAATTTTTTTTTTTTTTTTGCAAGAATAAATAATAAGAATAATAATACAAGTTAATATGTATTATTTTTGATACCATAAGTGACGCTGTGGATATCACACTTGCCTGTTTGCTTGGCGATCTAGGGGTCTCCCCCCCCCCCCCCCCTTTCCCCAAACAACTATTATCCTATAGCATAATTTAATAAAGCAAACAACTTATTTTTAGCATAATTTAGTGGAACAAACACATTTGTTAGCATAATTTTGTAGATTGACAATGTTTGATTAATTCACACAAAACTTTCGAATTAATATAAGAATAATTTTGTAAAAAAGGCAGTCTGTTTAATTCCGGTAAATCAGTGTATTATTTCGTGGTTTAATTTTGGATAATGGCAGAGTGTATTTTTTTTTTCTGCAGCAAAACCGTGTAGTTGGAGCCATGCAGCTATACTCAGTGGAGAGAAAAGTCAGTCAACCAATTGAAGGTCATGCAGCCTCGTTTGCTTCTTTCAAGATGGAAGGCAACCCTCTGCCATCCACCTTATTTATTTTTGCTGTCAGAGGAGCTCAAGGTGGCAAGGTGAGATATATTCTAAATTCTTCTTCTTTGCATTGACCAGCTGTAAACTTCTGGCGGAAAGTTCCGGTTGATTGTCTACTTCTAAGCTATTTTTAATCTGGTTCCAGAACTTGAGTTTTGTGTGTGCATCTGTTTTACACATCTGGCTAATATGTAAGCAGATTGTTGGTTCTTCATCTGTTTTGCAGATGCACTCTGACTTCAAAAGAGACACTACTTATAAGTAGACTTTTATGGCATGCTTATTGGGAGGCATTGGCGCCCCGCCTTTAACGATGGGGCCTTGGAGCTCAAACGGAGTTAAAAATTCATATCCTTTTTTGCCTTTTGTTTTCTTTGTGTGTGTGTGTTGTCTTCTTTCTATTCTTTCCCAGTGGAGCATAGGCCCTCAGTAACTCAAAACATGTCATCCTATCTTTTGCCATGTTATGCAGCTCATCCCATATCCTCCCCATCTTTTCAGCCAATTCTCCTTTCTCTCCTCCAGGTATTTTTAGTCTGACTTTATTTCTTTGACCCTTTGGATTCAACTGCAAGGATGTTCTAGTTATCAGGTTTTCATTTACGTGTGTTAGATTGACGGTTTTATCAATTACAATTGTATACTTAGACTGTGATGTGAGTAAATGAAGTGAAAGTCCAGAGGATCAACATCATTACACCTTGTTTTATCCCAAATGGTTGGGTCCTCTATCCACAGAACAGGATGTATCCAATATAGCACCATCTTCTTTGCCTTGTAACTGTTATTATAACATTTCTCGTATTTCTTCACCCCTCTGGAATTCATTTAATTTTATATTTAACATTTTCTTCAGGCATTTGTTTTCACAAGCATTTAACTTTCATTTCATGTCTTCACTTGTTTTAAACTTTCACTGGCATATTTTTGAAATGAAATAACATTAGAATTGAAATATTATCCCTGTGTGGGTTCTGTGGCCCTATTGTAGGGAAAATATTAATAGACCCACTGCCTACCCAAAAGTATAACGTAAGAGTCGAATTTGGAGCTTTTTTTTGAAGTCGTAGTGCGTCTGCCTGATAGGCAGGGAACCAGCAGTCTGCATACATAGGTCAGATCTGTAAAACGGATGCACATGCAACACTCAGGTTCTGGAACAGGATTACAGTTCAGAAGTGGACAAACAACCAGAACTTTTTTGCCTGAATTTACAGCTGGTGAACGCGAAGAGGAATAAGAAGATTAAAATTGAAAGTACATAGCTTGGTTGTAAAACTATACAATTTAGAGTTCCATATTTTGTTCAGGCTTTTAAAAACTGCAGAATTTTTCATACCAACCCTAGGAAGTTAGTGCTAGAATGTGGTGACTGATCATCATATGTGTAAAAGTATGGCATTGTTTTTTTTTTCTATCTTACCTGCAGCTTCACCTGATTGAAGTCGGCACTCCCCCTGCTGGCAACCAACCCTACACCAAGAAAGCTGTGGATGTGTTCTTCCCAGTTGAAGCTCAGAATGATTTCCCTGTGGCCATGCAGGTGAGTGTCAGACATTTTTGATTGTTGGTTCATATTTGAAGAAACAAACGAAGAAATGTTATATGTGCGCCCATTTTTACATTTGGCCCTTCCCCAACTTATCTTTCACACAGCAATTGAATGTTATCTTTAAAGCATATTTTCTTCAAATAGCAGTATGCGAATTATGAACAGCAAGTAAAAACACAAAAGCATTGATGGCAACTAGATATATTCAAACACACAAACATGCACGTGCATGCAGACACACACACAACATTCAAATCTCCTCTCCCTAATTATTTAGTCAGGACATAATATAATTACAGTCCTATCTTCAGATGGGGACATTATAACTTAAAATGGGCAGTCATAACTTACAATGAAGTAAATCCTAATTTTAGGTGGGCAGATAATCATAACATCAGATGGAGGGGATACTCAGCTTAGATGAAGTCATACCTAATAGGATACAGTTGTAACTTCAGATGGGGATAGTCATTACTTCAGATGGGGACAGTCATAACTTCAGACAGCGACAGTCATTACTTCAGATGGGGACAGTCATTACTTCAGATGGGGACAGTATTTACTTCAAATGGGGACAGTATATACTTCAAATGTGTGGACAGTCATTACTTCAGATGGGGATAGTCATAACTTCAGACGGTGACTGCCATTACTTCAGATGGGGTCAATCATTACTTCAGATGGGGACAGTCATAACTTCAGATGGGGACAGTTATAACTTCAGATGGTGACTGTAATTACTTCAGATGGGGACAGTCATAACTTCATATGGGGCAGTCATAACTTCGCATGGGGACAGTCATTACTTCAGATGGGGACAGTCATTACTTCAGATGGGGACAGTATTTACTTCAGATGGTGACTCGTTTTCCCGGAAACAGCATTCTCAGTCACTGTTCTCTGCAGGCAGCTGTGCTGTTTTAAATAGCCAAAATACTTCAGCTTTTGTGAAAGGATGCTGTTCATGAGCCAGTTCTCATCATGCAGGTAGTCTGAGAATTCTCCTGTAGCATTTCAGTTCAAAGGCTCAGATTTTTGTCTTTAATGCTTGGGTAAGAGACCGTGACCTAGGTAATGACTTGAGTTTTCACATAGGTGTAATGTAGACCCCTTTGGAAATGGACGTTATGTGCTAAATGTTGTTTGCCACATGTTTCCTTGTGCCACAGACCAGCAACAAGCACGGCGTGGTGTTTCTGGTGACCAAGTATGGCTACATCCACATGTACGACATTGAGACGGGCACCTGCATCTACATGAACCGCATCAGTGCTGACACCATCTTTGTGACCGCCCCTCATGAGGCTACCGATGGTATCATTGGGGTCAATAGGAAGGGCCAGGTTAGCCACTAACTGTTGTGTGTTTTAATTTGCATTATTGTATTTTTGCTACTAAATTTGTTTTTGGGGGTAGGGGGTGGGGTGAAATAGATCAACTGCCCCCCCCCCCAACAATTATGTCAAAAAGGTGACTAATTGAGGGTTTTCCCCCTTCAGAGTCGGATTATATCTGCCGGAGAGGTGAGGAACCAACAGTCTGCATACAAATAAACCAGACCTGTAAAATGGTGTGCTTGCAGAACTCAGGAACAAGACATAACAGGTAAAGGTAAAGTTGGGAGATGTTAATGAGCCAGCGTCATTGTACACGGTTATAAACCATAAGTGCTCTGCATCCAGTACGGACAGCTGATAAGAATTGTCCACCTGTGTCGCTGTTCGCACGTAACTCTGTAGCTACAGCGACGTTCCTCCATTTACCTCAAAGTGTCAACTCTGGTACCCATTTCCTAGAAGCTGGGTGAACCCCAGGAGCCGCCCGGTTTCGAACAACGACCGCGGGCTGCAGCGAGTCGCAGCTGGATTTGAAAGCGGGCTTCTTATTGACTGCGCTAACGCGGCCCCCAAGACATAAGTCCAGAAGTGAACGAACAACCAGAACGTTATTTTATTGTGCTGTTGAATGTGACAGCCGGCTTCCAGTAGATCATCTGTTCTGTTCTCTCCCCTTCAATCCTTTCTATATATTATAAATGGACTCTTTCCTGTGTGGGTTCTGAGTTCCCGTTATGGGGGAGAAAGAATAGACCCACTGCCCTCTTAACAAGCATGTCCTAAAGTCAGCTAATTAGGGGTGTTTCCTTTGAAGGTGCAGTGCATCTGCATGAGAGACGAGGAACCAACAGTCTGCACACAGATAAGCCAGATCTATAAAATAAATATGCAGCAGGACTATATAAAGTCCAGAAGTGGATGAAGAACCAGAACGTTCTGCCAAAGTTTATAGCCGTTGAAGTATGAATCAAGTCCAGCACCTTTGACCTCCTTTATCAACATTAGTTGTAAGGTCTCCTCTCTTGAATGTCTTCACATCCTGAATTTATTTGTTTCATATTTCAATGTCTGTTTTGTGATTCTTTTTGCAGTTCACCTCAGAATGTACCCACTATTATATGTTATAAGTATTATATTTGTGTGAATCTATTTTTTCCTGTTCATCAGGTTCTGTCTGTGAGCGTGGAGGAGGAAAACATTGTTCAATACATCAACAGCCAGCTCCAGAACCCAGATCTGGCCTTGAAGATTTCGTCCCGCTGTAACCTGCCAGGTGCTGAGGACCTGTTTGTGACCAAATTCAACAACCTCTTCCAGGCTGGCAACTATCAGGAAGCGGCCAAAGTGGCAGCTAGTGCCCCAAAAGTGAGATTATTGTGTGGTTGTGTGGATTCTTTGGTGGGGATCTAAATTTGACTGAGTTCCACATGTGGGTTCCTTTTCACCATTGGAAAGGGGGGGGGGGGTGGCAATAGACCCACCTAGGTGACTAATGAAGAATTTGCTGAAATCAGATGTGTTGGCTAATTCAGGATTTGGTGAGATCAAACGTGTTGGCTAATTTAGGAATTGGTGTGATCTTGTGTTAATTCAGGATTTGGTGAAATCAGATATGTTGGCTAATTCAGGATTCGATGAGATCTTGTGTTTAATCAGGATTTAGTGAGATCAGAGGTGTTGGCTAATTCAGGATTTGGTGAGATCAGATGTGTTGGCTAATTCAGGATATGATGAGATCAGATGTGTTGGCTAATTCAGGATTTGGTGAGATCAGATGTGTTGGCTAATTCAGGATATGATGAGATCAGATGTGTTGGCTAATTCAGGATTTGATGAGATCAGATGTGTTAGCTAATTCAGGATTTGGTGAGATCAGATATGTTGGCTAATTCAGGATTCGATGAGATCAGATGTGTTGGCTAATTCAGGATTTGATGAGATCAGATGTGTTGGCTAATTCAGGATTTGATGAGATCAGATGTGTTGGCTAATTCAGGATTCGATGAGATCAGATGTGTTGGCTAATTCAGGATTTGATGAGATCAGATGTGTTAGCTAATTCAGGATTTGGTGAGATCAGATATGTTGGCTAATTCAGGATTCGATGAGATCAGATGTGTTGGCTAATTCAGGATTTGATGAGATCAGATGTGTTGGCTAATTCAGGATTTGGTGAGATCAGAAATGTTGGCTAATTCAGGATTTGGTGAAATCAAGACGTATTGGGTCAAAAGGCGCAGATATCACGGCTTAGCTCTACAGTTTGCCAGCTGCCTGTAGAAAGGAATTTCTGGTTATACCATAACCAGGTTTCTTCACTGTGCGATCTGACATCTTTTAAACTTTTGATTGGAATCTGATTCTCTCCCTGTCCTCTCTTAGCAGAGCTGTGAAGCAAAATATGGCCACAACCAGTAGACCTGACAACCAAGCTTGGGGGGAGGGGAGGAGGGGGGGAACCTAAGAGACCTTGAGATGACATCCCATAGTGAATAAAGAGCATGACCAGAGATGGCTGAAGAAGACGATGTTTCTGTTCCTGAGCTCAACATATGCCGTTTTGTTTTATTTTAATCCTTCCATCTTCGGAGGGCATATATTAATAAATGTTTGTAGTTTATAATTTGTATAGGCAGTCACCGTGGCGTAGCGGCTAGACACTCGCCTGCGGATCAGAAGGTCCTGGGTTCACTACCAAGCGGAGCCGGACTTTTGAAAAAATAAAATGACCTTGTCTCCCAGGTTGACCCAGCCTTGAGTGGGTACCAGGTGCAGTCCTGGGAAGTAAAGGCGGCCGGCGTGATGCTGACCACATTACCCATCTTGTGCAGTTGGTCTATAAAAATATAGGTCTAGCCCTATATACCCAGCACGCCTGAAAGGCGTGGAAAAGAGTTCTTTACTTTACTTTTTATAATTTGTATGTGGTTTATAATTTTTGTGTGGTTTATAATTTGTATATGGTTTATAATTTTTGTGTGGTTTATTATTTGTGTTTGATTTATAATTTTTGTGTGATTTATAATTTGTGTGTGGTTTATAATTTGTATATGGTTTATAATTTTTGTGTGGTTTATAATTTGTATATGGTTTATAATTTTTGTGTGGTTTATAATTTGTATATGGTTTATAATTTGTATATGGTTTAAAATTTGTATATGTTTTATATTTTGTATGAGGTTTATAATTTGTGTGTGGTTTTTTAATTGGTATATGGTTTATAATTTGTGTGTGCTTTATATTTTGTATGTGGTTTATAATTTGTATCTGGTTTATAATTTGTATCTGGTTTATAATTTGTATATGGTTTATAATTTGTATCTGGTTTATAATTTGTATATGCTTTATATTTTGTATGGGGTTTATAATTTGTGTGTGGTTTTTTAATTTGTATATGGTTTATATTTAGTGTGCTTTATATTTTGTATGGGGTTTATAATTTGTGTGTGGTTTATAATTTGTATATGCTTTATATTTTGTATGGGGTTTATAATTTGTGTGTGGTTTTTTAATTTGTATATGGTTTATAATTTGTGTGTGCTTTATATTTTGTGTGTGGTTTATATTTTGTATTTGGTTTATACTAGCGAGTAAAGTTATGCAATAACATTTTAAAAAGTGTTATCAATGTGTTTCCTCTGTAGGGTATCTTGCGAACCCCAGCAGACCATTCAGCGCTTCCAGCAGGTGCCCACGGTGCAGGGTACAACTTCCCCACTTCTGCAGTACTTTGGCATCCTTCTGGATAAAGGTCAGCTCAATAAGTATGAGTCCTTGGAGCTGTGCCGCCCTGTCTTGCAACAAGGACGGAAGCAGTTGGTTGAGAAGTGGCTGAAAGAGGAGAAAGTAAGTGAACTCAACATGTTCTTCATTGTCTTATTTGGAAGATGTGTTAACCTTTTTACCCTGTAAGAATCTTTAAGACAAAAATACCTTTTTCCAAATTAAATTAAAAAAAAAAAAAAAAAAAAAAACAGACATCCTCATGCTTCTCCAAAATTGTACCTTGAGAAACTAGAAGTGGTCCAAGTGACAAGAAGGGACAAAGTCCGCAATCAGACAATACATCAAGATCTTGATACCCAGCCCTTACTAACCCGAGTGGATCAGTCACAGTTACGATGGTTTGGACATGTGTGCAGAATGGGAGAAAATCGGGCACCATGGCAAGCATGGGAGGCTAAGAACCAGGGAACCAGACCTCCGGGACGACCCAGGGTGTGCTGGGAAGACAACATCCGACAGTCCCTGACTGACAGAGGACTGGAATGGAACAAAGCCAGAAAGAAAACTGCTGATAGAGACGTCTGGCGATCTCTCTGGCAAACCTCTACACCCCAAGGTAGAAGGGGAGCGACGAAGTAAGTAAGTAAGTAAGAAACTAGAAGAAAAAAAGAAAAAGAAAAAGCAGGCGAAATTTGGAGTCTTGGCCATTTTTAAAATAAAAATCCAGGTGGTCGAAACCGTAGACAACTAGGCAAACAGGCAAGTGGGAAGGCCACAGATTCTTTGCGGACCTCATTCCGGTAGGTTAAAACAAATAAATTGATATGTGCGCACCCACGTGTGTGTGTTTAAAAAACCCACTTCAGGTAACTGTTTTGGGCACAGTCAGTTTTTTCATGTGAAGTGAAGTAATAACAAAGTAAAAACAGAGCAAAGAATCATTTGCTTCTTTGACCATGAAAATGGGTTTTGTGGAGACAGTCGTATGGAGCAAGTGAAATCCTTATAAGTTTGTTATGACGTCATTATGCTGTCAGTGAAATGTTTTCACACTTAATAATATCTCATTAAAAAAATAGCCATGCCTATGCACTATGCAATTGCAGCTGTTATATGGCCACAGTCCATTGACTTCATGTCATAAAAAACCCATAAAAGCCTTGAAAATGACTTTCTTGGGGTGACGTGGTTAAAGTAGTGAAATATAGAACATTCCAGGCCAGTGCAAGAAAATTAGAACCAGAGAGAGACAGAGGGAAAACCAAGAGAGGTTACCGCAGAAGAACAGAGGAAAACAGAGAGAAGTTACAGCAGAAGAACAGGAAAACCAAGAGAGAAGTTACAGCAGAAGAACAAAAGAAAACCAAGAGAGAAGTTACAGCAGAAGAACAGAGAAAAACCAAGAGAGAAGTTACAGCAGAAGAACACAGGAAAACCAAGAGAGAAGTTACAGCAGAAGAACAAAGGAAAACCAAGAGAAAAGCTAAGCAGAAGAATAGTTATTGACGGCACACGAGACAGAGGGCTTAGGACATATAGGATTACCAGTGCCACATGACATGGGCTTTGACATCTGTGTGTTGGTTCTAGGGCCCAATTTGGGAATGGACCCAATACCTGCTAAGAGGCATGTCGTAACAGGGGACTAATTAAAGCTGCTTCCTTTAAAGTCAGAGTGTATCTGCCAGGGAGGTATAAACTAGGGCTGTACCGAATATTCGCTTCGTATTCGCTTCGGGGCCGAATAGTGGACCTACTAGCTATTCGGTATTCGGCCGAATACGAATAGTTATTTCTGCATACACTGCGATGGACTAAAATAACTCTCTCATTAATAATGTCACAATTTATAGCCGACTTTTCTTGATTTTCGCCGCGGCACCCCTGTCATACGCACCCAGTTTTAGAACCTCTGCTGTAATGCCTCGGAGTCAGGCGCTGTTACCACGCAAACGGGTCGTCGTTTTTCCCGCTACGAAAGATTTAGGCATCGCTACTGTTGTGTTAAAGAAGGCATGAAGAAACTTGAAAGTGTATCTGTGTGTGTGTGTGTGTGAGAGAGAGAGAGAGAGAGAGAGAGACAAAGAGAAAGCATGCATTTTTTTGTTCTTTCGGGGTGTCTTTTCCCAAATCAAATTGAAGATATTGCAGACGAGAATATGAAGGTGCATTTAAATTACATTGAACGAACGCCTGAACGAAAAATGATTTAAATGCGAATTTGGCACATGGATAAAATCAGATGAAAGATGCATTACTAAAATAAAAAACAAAATAGGACAGGCTAAAAATGCATTTTATATTAAAAAAAAAAGAACATCTTGTGCAATATATCGTTGTCTTGCTTGCTACATACATCCAGTTTTAACATATGGCTATGAGTCCTGGACAATCGGTAGCCAGGCCAAACAATTTTTTGAGGCCTCAGAGATGTGGTTTTACAGAACAATGCTTAAAATTCCTTGGACAGCTTAAAAAAAGCAACCACTAGGTTTTGAAAGAGGCGGGAGCCCGAAGACAACTAATCGCAGACATCAGAAGAAGACAGTCATCATATAGAAAGAGTGAAAATGGAACATGTGGTGACCACTGGAAAGATTTGTGGAAGGAGAGATAGAAAAAGACAACGAGAGAAGATTCTTGACAGTCGTTGCATGTCATGGAGGTGTGTCAGCACACAAACTGATACATGCTGCAGGAGATCGCAGATTGTGGCGAGGCAAAATCGTAGCAGTCGGCGAGGCACCTGATGATGATGATACACTATTCGTATTCGGCCGAATAGTTGGTCCCACTATTCGTATTCGGTTGAATAGTGAAAAACCACTATTCGGTACAGCCCTAGTATAAACTACTATTGAAACTTGTGTCTTAGTGTTTTTCTGTTTGTCAACAGCTTGAATGCAGTGAGGAGCTAGGAGATATTGTGAAAACTGCAGATCCAACCCTGGCTTTATCTGTGTACCTTCGGGCAAATGTTCCTCAGAAGGTAAGATAGACCTTCTTTCATTTATGTTTTTTCCAGCAGATTTTTATGCCGTAATGGTTAATAGGCATGTTGTTTTTTTTTGTTTTGTGGGTCTGTTGCTTATGTAATGTTATACTTCGTTGTTGAGACTTTTTGAGAAAGCCATCTAGTATTTCATTGAAATCATGCACTGCTTCGCATTAGCTGTGTTGATTGTGCTCTGACTTTGAAAACCCGCTGTAAATGTTAACGTCATGCTTGTCAGTAGTTGTAAATGTTAACATCATGCTTGTCAGTAGTTGTAAATGTTAACATCATGCTTGTCAGTAGTTGTAAATGTTAACGTCATGCTTGTCAGTAGTTGTAAATGTTAACATCATGCTTGTCAGTAGTTGTAAATGTTAACATCATGCTTGTCAGTAGTTGTAAATGTTAACATCATGCTTGTCAGTAGTTGTAAATGTTAACATCATGCTTGTCAGTAGTTGTAAATGTTAACATCATGCTTGTCAGTAGTTGTGTTAACATATTGTCATGTTAACATCATGCTTGTCAGTAGTTGTAAATGTTAACATCATGTTTGTCAGTAGTTGTAAATGTTAACATCATGCTTGTCAGTAGTTGTAAATGTTAACATCATGCTTGTCAGTAGTTGTAAATGTTAACATCATGCTTGTTATCTTTTATGTTTTTATTACCTTGATGTAATTTCTTCCCTATTTCAATGCCTGTTTAATGATTGTATAGTTTTTTCTATTTATGGTTAAAACCTATTTTCGGAAACATAATGTAACCAATTATTGTTTCTCTAGGTGATCCAGTGCTTCGCTGAAACCGGCCAGTTTCAGAAGATCATCTTATATTCCAAGAAAGTCGGCTTCACACCAGACTACATTTTCCTGCTGCGTAATCTGATGCGCATCAACCCAGAACAGGGCCTGCAGTTTGCACAGATGTTAGTTCAAGATGATGAACCTTTGGCTGATCTCAACCAGGTATATTAGGCTTTCATATATTTGACGTTAAAACCTGGCTTCTGGGAAGGCTAACCTGGGGAACAAATGCTCGATGAAGTCGGATTACTTGGCCGAAAGTTGATTGATGATGGTCACAGCACAGTTACTTCACTCAGACGAATGATGAAGAAGGAACCATTGCTTTTTTCTGGCATTTCTGGTAGCAGACTGTTGGGCCGTAGTGTAAAGATCAGGGAACTGATAGAGGTATTAAAATACAATGTCAAAAGAAATTAAAACTATACTGTTATACAGATATATGGAGCTGAAAAATGGAGAACAGTTAAAACAATTATTAATACACTACAAACATTCATTAACTCGAGCCTGCACAGAACAGAGGGAATTAAATGGTATGATAGAATCACTAAAGTAGAGCTTTAGGAGAGAACTAAACAAGTTCCAGTGGACCAAGAGGTTAAGAAAAGATGCTGGCATTGGATAGGACACACATTGAGGAAAAACTGAGAACAGTTTAACCAGAATGTCTTTGCACTGAAACCCACAGGGGTATAGAAATAAAGGAAGACATGGAGAAGGAAGCTAGAGAGTGAAGTTAAAACAATAGGGAAGACATGGGAAGAGCTGCATGCGATAGCAAAGGATATGATGACTTGGCTTGAGTTGTTTGGGGGTCTATGATCCATTCAGGGTTAGAAAGGGTGAAGAAGAAGAAGAATGTTGGTGTTGGTACCTCTGGGGGTTGCATTTAATACATGTGCATGCTTTTGAATTTGCTAGTGCTTCTGCCTGTTTACTTTTAACACTGGACAGTAATTATAAGGGGACCCATTTGCTGTGGAGTTGGAGTGACGGCTTCTAGGGGACTAGTTTAGCATGTGATTTGTTGTATAGGTGGTCACATTTAGTTGGAACTACGACTGATGACTTCTAGCTGACGAGTTTAGCATGTGATTTGTTGTATAGGTGGTTAAATTTAGTTGGAACTACGACTGACGGCTTCTAGGGGACTAGTTTAGCATGTGATTCTTTGTATAGATGGTCACATCTTGTTTATGATTATTTTTTTTTTTATCTCTTCTCCTTTCAGATTGTGGATGTGTTTATGGAGTTCAACTTGATCCAGCAGTGCACATCTTTCCTGTTGGATGCCCTGAAGAACAACAGGCCCTCTGAGGGTCCTCTACAGACTCGCCTGCTTGAGATGAATCTACTTTCTGCACCTCAGGTGAGTCATGATTTAGCCAGTTGTATGATCAGATAGTGATATCTTATTAGTCAGGCAAGGTTTTATCTTGATCGTTCAGATAGTTATGTATTGCTTCAGTCATGATAGGATATACCAGTGAAGATTGATAGGATATGCCAGTGAAGATTGATAGGATATGTCAGTGAAGATTGATAGGATATGTCAGTGAAGATTGATAGGATATGTCAGTGAAGATTGATAGGATATGTCAGTGAAGATTAATAGGATATGTCAGTGAAGATTGATAGGATATGTCAGTGAAGATTGATAGGATATGTCAGCAAAAATTGATAGGATATGTCAGTGAAGATTGATAGGATAAGTCAGTGAAGATTGATAGGATATGACATTGAAGATTGATAGGCTATGGCGGTGAAGATTGATAGGATATGTCAGTGAAGATTGATAGGATATGTCAGTGAAGATTGATAGGATGTGTCAGTGAAGATTGATAGGATATGTCAGTGAAGATTGATAGGATATGTCAGTGAAGATTGATAGGATGTGTCAGTGAAGATTGATAGATTGTCAGATTGAGGGATATGTCAGTGAAGATTGATAGGATATGTCAGATAGAATATGTCATCGCCATGGAGAGATTCGTATGATAGGATAGGATATGTCAGTAAAGATTGAAAAGATAGGATATATCAGTGTAGATTCATAGGAAAGGATATGTCAGTGAAGATTGAAAAGATAGGATATATCAGTGTAGATTCATAGGAAAGGATATGTCAGTGTAGATTCATAGGAAAGGATATGTCAGTGAAGATTGAAAAGATAGGATGTATCAGTGTAGATTCATAGGAAAAAATATGTCAGTGAAGATTGAAAAGAAAGGAAATATCATTGTAGATTCATAGGAAAGGATATGTCAGTGAAGATTGAAAAGATAGGATATAACAGTGTAGATTCATAGGATAGGATATGTCAGTGTAGATTCATAGGGAAGGATATGTCAGTGAAGATTGAAAAGATAGGATATATCAGTGTAGATTCATAGGAAAGGATATGTCAGTGAAGATTGAAAAGAAAGGATATATCAGTGTAGATTCATAGGAAAGGATATGTCAGTGAAGACAATACCATTGTTGAAATCAATGTGAAGGGGTCTGCTGTCCAGTTGTCTGCAGCTGAAGTGAGCCGGGTGATTCGGAATTACAAACTACATTCATAACCTCAAAGCTGACTATACTTAACGGGATAAATTGAAGACATTTGTGTTTTCTAACAGGTGGCTGATGCGATCCTAGGCAACCAGATGTTCACTCACTACGACCGAGCCCACATTGCTCAGCTGTGTGAGAAAGCTGGCCTCTTGCAGAGGGTAAGTTTGTCAGTTAATTTGTTTGCTGACATCATCATGAAGTGAGATATGTTGCATGTTTTGTGAAGCCTGTGGCTCAGCATCTCCAATTTTGTGTTTGCTTTGGCTGTGTCCAGTCAATGTATAAGACAGCAAGGTTGTCTCTGTCTTTGCCTGGCCCCTGTCTCTTGACCTGTCAGACACAAAGGTCCTACAGGCGGCGACAACTACCATCGATATAGCTTTAGGGTCAACAATTCATCAAAGAATTACCTCTCAGTAGTTTTGCCCATATGGGTTCCGGGGCCAGACTGTGTGGGGGGGGGGGGGGAACAAGAATAAACCCACTGCCTTCCTAACAAGCTTATTTAAGAATCGACTACTGGAGGCTTCCTTCGAAATAAAGGTACATTTGTCTGAGAGACAAGGAATCAGCAGTCTGCATACAAATGAGTTAGATCTGTAAAAAGAATGTGCATGCAACACTCAAGTTCTGGAACAAGACTTAAGTCCAGAAGTGGATGAACAACCAGAATTTCCCCCTGGAGTTTACCAGAATCGATCACCGGCTGTGAATTCCAGTGGAAGGTCCCGGTTAATCGTCCGCTTGGACTTTTGGCTTTCACCTGGACCTGATTTTTGCGTGTACAACCGTTTTTCATTTCCCTGCCTCATGGGCAGCTTTACTCTGACTTCGAAGGAAGACGTCAGGCCTATTTCTAGGTTGAGTTACAGCTGATGAACATGAGGAAGAAAATTGAGAAGAGTTTTATTTAGTGCAGGAATGGTGCTGTTCTTGCTAAATGTGACGCTCTCAGTGGCAACTAATGGAGAGTGACCAAACCATTTGATATAAAACTCAGTGCAGTAAAGTCGATAATCTGGTCTTTTATAGTTTATTATTGTCATGCTGCTATAACAGTCTTTCACGCCTAGAAAAAATAATCCCCTGGGTGGAGTGGTAAAATTGTTGTTTCAAGGTACTTTAATCCGTCCAGCATAAAGGAAGTAGCAAGTTAACATGAAGATGAATAAAAAGGATTCTGTCAGAGAGTAGATCCTGACAGTAGAAAAGTTTGAGGGGAAGAGAGGCAGAGGGAGACCGAGAGACAAGATGCTAGACAGTTTGACATTATGGCATAGAGGATCATCGGTGTCAGAGTTAATTGAAAGTACACGAGACAGAAGTTTGTGGGTACAGACACCACTAACAACGCCACACGGCACGGACATTTAAAAGGCAGATAGTAAAACCAAAGAATGAAGTTTGCATTTGAAGTAGAAGAGGAAGGAATTATTATTATTAACCCTATTTCTTTCTAACATCTGCAGGCTTTAGAGCATTACACAGATTTGTATGACGTGAAGAGAGCTGTGGTGCACACACATTTGCTTAACCCAGAGGTAGGTGGTCTTTTGTGATGTGGCGATAGTTCATGTCATTTATAGCTGTTATCACTATCATCATAACTACCACCATCATCACTGCTATCATTATCCCCACCACCACCACTATCATCATCGCTATCATCTTCCCCACCACTACAATCATCATCATCATGATCACCATTATCACTGTCATCATCATCCCCACCACCGCCATCATCATCGTCATCATCACCATCATGACTGCCATTATCATTCCCACCACCATCATCATCACCATCATCACTGCCATCATCATTCCCACCACCACACCATTGTTATCTTCATCATCATCCCCACCACTACCACCATCATCATTATCATCCCTATTACCTCCATTATCTTCATCATCATCATCTCCACCAGTGCCATCATTATCATCCTCATCATCTTCATCATCACCCCCACCATCATCATCTGCCAAGTCAGTAAATGTAGGTGGCTGTAGCTAGACGTCTAACACAACCACATGAACCAAGTCTGTTCTTGTCCTTTCCAGTCTTCTCCCCGTGGGGGTCCTGGGGGCCACTTTTGCTGGGAAAGGGGGGTTGGGAAACTGAATAGACCACTGGTACTTAACAAGCATGCTGTAAAAACTTATTGATCAATCATCATTGTCGTAAACTATTTCAGCCGTTAAGCGTCATGGGGAGGAATAATTTGCGATCCAGCGCACACTGTCTGTTGTTGTGTTTTGCTGAAATTGGATTGTATTGGGACAAAGGCTCTTATATCTCAGCCTAGTTGTAAGCCACAACACACAGTGCCAACCTTCTTTTAAGGATGAATGCAGGAGTAATCCCTCCTGTACTATGAGGATCAAGTTAAATAACAATATTTTATCTTGCAGTGGATCGTATGCTTCAGCCATTCATTTACATGTTTGTGTGCTCTTTTATTGACTTCTCTTGTGTATTTGTGAGAGTATGCTTTCGTGTAAGTTCTAATTGTATTTATAGCATATCATCATATTTGAAATTTTTTTGTTTAACAGTGGTTGGTGACATATTTTGGCACCCTGTCCGTGGATGACTCCTTAGAATGTCTGAAGGCCATGCTGACGGCCAACATACGCCAAAACCTGCAGGTGTGCGTACAGATTGCATCCAAGTATCACGAGCAACTCTCTACCGAGAACTTGATTGAGCTGTTTGAGTCCTTCAAGAGTTATGAAGGTAAGGGCAGTTACATCTGGTCTTTCCCCGTGTGGGTTCCGGGTTCCCCATTGTGGGGGAAACAAGAATAGACCCACTGTTTCCCAACAAGCATGGTGTAAGAGTTTGACTAATTGGGAGTTTCCTTCCAAGTAGGAGTGCTTCTGCCTGAGAGGCAAGAAATCAACAGTATGTATCTAAAGTATATAATGAAGTCAGATCTGTGAAACGGATGTGCACGCAGTGCTCAGGTTCTGGAACAGGACTAAAGTCCAGAGGCGGACAAAGAAAAAGAACTTTCCTTTGGAGTTTACAGCCGGTGAACGCGAAGAAGAAGAAAATGAAGATCTGATCTTGTCATCCTCTTTGCTTTTCATCTTAGTATAAAGCATAGACATTCAAGTGTCACAAGCAGCTTTCCAAAAGGGACGGATCATACTGTTTATGTATATCAGTTGAGTTTTCTTCTTCTTCTTTGCTTTCATCGGCTGTAAAATCCCGTGGACAGATTATGGTTGTTCGTCCACTTCTGGACTTTAGACTTGTTTTAGAACTTGAGTTTTGCGTGCACATCCATTTGTATGCAGAAACTTCTAATTAGTCGACTCTTAATTATTGCTTGTTGGGGAAGCAGGGAGTTGATACTTCTGACATTGTAACCCTACAGAAATACCATAATGGTTAACTGACACAGTGTTGATACTTCTATCATTGTAACCCTACAGAAATACCATAATGGTTAACTGACACAGTGTTGATACTTCTGACATTGTAGCCCTACAGAAATACCATAATGGTTAACTGACACAGTGTTGATACTTCTGACATTGTAGCCCTACAGAAATACCATAATGGTTAACCGACACAGTGTTGATACTTCTATCATTGTAACCCTACAGAAATACCATAATGGTTAACTGACACAGTGTTGATATTTCTGACATTGTAGCCCTACAAAATACCATAATGGTTAACTGACACAGTGTTGATACTTCTATCATTGTAACCCTACAGAAATACCATAATGGTTAACTGACACAGTGTTGATATTTCTGACATTGTAGCCCTAAAAATACCATAATGGTTAACTGACACAGTGTTGATACTTCTATCATTGTAACCCTACAGAAATACCATAATGGTTAACTGACACAGTGTTGATATTTCTGACATTGTAGCCCTACAAAATACCATAATGGTTAACTGACACAGTGTTGATACTTCTATCATTGTAACCCTACAGAAATACCATAATGGTTAACTGAAACAGTGTTGATACTTCTGACATTGTAGCCCTACAGAAATACCATAATGGTTAACTGACACAGTGTTGATACTTCTGTCATTGAAGCCCTACAGAAATACCATAATGGTTAACTGATGCATTCTTCATGATAAGTAAAGTAAATGACCCTTTTCCACGCCTTTAGGTGTATTGGGCATTTAGGACTAGATCTATATTTTATACAGACATCGGCACTGGGAGGGTGATGTCAGTATCACGCCGGCTGCTTTTACTACCCAGGACTTTACCTGGTACCCATTTAATCCTGGAAACAACTGTCACGTTTGAAAAAAAATTCCACCTCTGCCAGGATTTTTCATAGTAAACTGAAAAGCGAAATTTCTGCGTTTTCCCTGATAAGGTGGTTGGCATGTGGTTTACAGCTCGACTTTTTATCCTGCGCCTCTTGGCCCAGCGTAATCCTAATTAGTTGCCTTCTAGGACATACTTGCCAGTAGGCAGTGTGTTTTCCCCTTCAATGGCTACATAAATATTATAATAGTTATGTGAGATAAAGAGCTTATGGTTTAGTCATAGTACTCCAATGACCAACAACTGAGTTGTGTATTTATTTCAGTGTTTATATATATTGACAAGAAAAGCTTCCTTGGGTGAGTGTATAACACTGGTCCTCGCTTGTGCTTCCCTCACCAGGTCTGTTCTATTTCTTGGGCTCCATTGTCAACTTTAGCCAGGACAGTGAAGTGCACTTCAAATACATCCAGGCCGCCTGCAAGACAGGCCAGATTAAAGAAGTGGAGAGGATCTGCCGAGAGAGCAATTGCTATGACCCAGAACGTGTGAAAAATTTTCTGAAAGTAAGTGTTGTTTTCTTTGTTGCTGTTTATTTTCTTCTTCTTCTTCACATCATTTCATGGAAGAGTGTCTTCTTCCTGAGTAAATACAGTTTATGTTTAAAAAAAAAAAGAGATCACCAAAATCAAAATGGGAGTGGGGGGGGGGGGGGGGGGGATGTTGTTCATTCTGCCTGTATTTGCTTTTTGAGGTGATTTAGGACAAGGCAGTCTTCTTCTTCTTATTCACTTTTACCGGCTGTACCTCTGGCAGAAAGTTCTGGTTGTTTGTCCACTTCTGGACTTCAGTCTTGTTCCAGAACTTGAATTTTGTGTGCACGTTCCTTTTTTTCAGATCTGGCTTATTTGCATGCAGACTGTTGGTTTACAGCTCGACTTTTATATCCTGCGCCTCTTGGCCCAGCACACTCCTAATTAGTTTCCTTCTAGGACATGCTTGCCAGTAGGCGGTGTGTTTTCACCTTCAGTGGGCCCCTTCCCCCTCAACCTGAACCCAGGCAGGGAGAAAAAAAAATAAACAAACATGATGACATCAACTGCTCCCTCTTCTGAGACAATGTGAAGAGTGCAGCGCTTGTCTGATAGCAGTTTTGTGGGAAGTTTTTGTAGTTTAAGTATTTGTTTTTTTTTTCAAAAGTCCTCTTCTACTTTCCAGAGGAGCACAGACCCTCAGTTTATAATTGTCATTGTCCCATCATTACTGGTTTTGTCCATGCATTTTCTGCATTCTGACTGAATTTCTGTATTCATCCTTGACTGAATTTCTGTGTTGGCTTTTGGGGATCCGTCTTTCTCTTATATATCTGGGCGTTTTGACGAGTGGTCGTGTTTTACTAGTGAGGTTTTTAAAAATTAATAAACAGACTGTCAACCTTTCTACCTCTTACAAAACAGGTGATAGAATAAGGTGTAAGTAAGTAAAGGTCCCTTTTTCGCGCCTTTAGGTGTATAGGGCATATAGGGATAGATCTATATTTTTTTAGACAAATCGGCACAAGATGGGTGATGTGGTCAGTATCATACCTGCCGTCTTTACTTCCCAGAACTGCACCCGGTACCCACTCAAGACTGGTTCGACCTAGAAGTAAAGGTCATTTTTGAAAAGTCCGGCTTCTCCAGGGAGCGAGCCCACGACTTTCCAATCCGCATGCGTCTAGCTGCTACGCCAGGGCGACTCCCTGATGGAATGTAGTGGGGTTATGTTATTTTTCGCATCAGAGGGTGATGTTTTTATGTAGATGCCATTTTGAGAGAAAAGTTAGTTGCTTATCCTGTAAAGAACGCTTAAACCAGCCACAAGCATTTGTTGGTTGTGTGGTTTTACTAGGCAGTTTTGTTGTTTACATTAATAGTATGCCATTGCTTTCTGAACAGTCGGTTGTCGATACCACTGTCGAAATCACTGCAGAGCGGTCTGCTGCCAAATCATCTGCAGCTGGAATTGAACAGATATAATTTATAGTACTGTAAACCTACAGCAAACACACATGAAACAAATATGATGATATTAACTGCTCCCTCTTCTGAAACAATGTGAAGAGTGCAGCGCTTATCTGATACTAGTTTTGTGTATCCTAAATCATTAAGTGTTAGTTTTCTGTCTCTCCAGTGAAGTATAGGCTCTCAACCATGCTCTTCTAAGATCTGTCATCAAGATAATTCGCAATGACTAACCATGAGGTCTGACCATGATTGGCTAGTTATTTTTAGTTTGTGATGCACTGTTTTCACATAGTTCGCAAAGTACCGACAATGAGGTACAGTGATTTAGATGCAGATTAGGAAATTACCGCAGAAAGGATACCTCAGTCTGGTAGAGTTAAGATAAAAGTTAGTTGCTTATCCTGTAAAGGACGCTTAAACCAGCCACAAGCACTTGTTGGTTGTTTGTGGTTTTACTAACACTACTTCTACTGCGTTTTTTTTAACATTGAATAGTTTGCCATTGCCTTCTGAACAGTTGGCTCTCGATACCACTGTCGAAATCACTGCAGAGCGGTCTGCTGCCAAATCACTTGCAGCTAGAATTAAACAGATAGAATTTATAGTACTATAAACCTAGCGGCGTCCGTGGCTAAGGCGCTGTGAGTCCGACTCGTAAGCCAGCATACCGCGATCGAAACTCACTGTAGGCTGCGTGGATTTTTGTCGTGGTATGGGACGTCGCAGGTCGACCCAGCCTAAAATGGGTACCAGGATGGGCTGTCCTGGGAAAGTAAAGACAGCCGGCGTAATGCTGACCACATTACCCACCGAGTGCTGATGGTCTGTAAAAATATGGGACGCTCTGCCCATATGCCCGATGCGCCGAAAGGCGTGAAAAGGGATCTTTACTTTACTTTACTTACTATAAACCTACAACAAACACGTATGAAACAAATATGATGATATTAACTGCTCCCTCTTCTGAAACAATGTGAAGAGTGCAGCGCTTATCTGATACTAGTTTTGTGTATCCTTAATCATTAAGTGTTAGTTTTATGTCTTCTAGTGAAGTATAGGCCCTAAACCATGTTCTTCTAAGATCTGTCATGTGTTGGTTTTGTCTGTCTTTTCTATGTTTCTAATTTCTGCCTCACATTTTTCTCCATGTCTTATTTTTGTGTTCCAGTCTTCTTGTAATTCTGTAGGAGCTGTTTTATTAATTGTCCCAGTCTTTATCTTTTATTGCCTGAACTGTCCCAGTTTATTTATTTACTATTTGAGCTGTTTTAGTATATAATTCTATGGAGATGTGGATATACAGAAGATTAGGTCGTATTTCATGTAAACAAAAGCTATCAAATACAGAGGTACTGTGGAAATTGGGAATGAAAAGAGAGTTGCTAGGTGAAATAAAAAAGAGACAAGTGAAATATTTTGGCCACATTAAAAGACATAACAGTATTGTAAAGATCATCCTAGAGGGAAAGGTTCAAGGTAGGCGAGCAAAAGGCAGACAGCGTTACAAGTGGGAGGATAACATCAAGAGATGGACGAACAGAAGTATGAGTGAGTGTACATCAAGGGCAAGAGACAGGGCTTGTTGGAGATCCATTGCAGCCAACCTTCATTGTGGAGACGGCACCTGATTGATTGATTGAGTATACCAGTTTTTTCTTTCTTATACTGTCAACTGTCTGTGATGTCCCAGTTTCAAATACTGAGGCAGCTGTTTTAATGACTCAGTCTTTCTCATATACTGTGAGGGCTGTTCTTTTTGTTTGTTTCCCACTCTTTCTCATACTCTGTGGGGGAGATGTTCCTTTCTTGTGTGTGTCCCAGTCGTTTTCATATACTGTGAGGGCTGTTCTTTTTGCATCCCAGTCTTTCTAATAAAATGGGAGAGCTGTTCTTTGGTGACCCACTCTTTCTCATATACTGTGGGGGATGTTCTTTTTTGTGTTTCACAGTCTTTCTCATATACTGTGAGGGATGTTCTTTTTTGTGTGTCCCAGTCTTTGTCATATACTGTGGGGGATGTTATTTTTTGTTCGTGTCTCAGTCTTTCTCATATACTGTGAGGGCTGTTCTTTTGTGTTTGTGTCCCAGTCTTTCTTTAAAAAAAAAAAATCCCCAGCTCTTACTGGGGTTCAATCCCCAGTAAGAGCTAGGATTTTTTTAAACGTAGACTTGGACTTCTAGTAATTCCCCCTGGTCTCTGGGTAGTGAGATCGGACTCCCGTGTGCATTGTTTCGCACGTTTAAAAAAATCCCTTGGCAATTGGAAATCATAAAGAGTAGCCTAACGGCGCTGCCAGGGCAGAATTAGGAGTTAAAAATCTACCCAGAGTATTTCAGGATGTGCTACAAAGCCTGTGCACTGTGCTGAGCTTCTTCGGACTCAGACTTGAGTTAGAAGAAGAATGGAGCACTTATGGGTATTACCCGTGTGCCATGATGTTGATCCGTTGTTTAAACCTTCAACTTCCAAACCTTTTCTCAATCTTAGACACTTGGTGGAATAAATAAGAGAAAATCTGGTATCAACTGTTATAAAACAGAAAAGATAGCCCTATATTGGACACATCCTCAAAAGAGATGAAAGCCCTTTATTGGACACATCCTGAGAAGAGATAAAAGAAAGCCCTATATTGGACACATACTTAGAAGAGATAAAAGAAAGCCCTATATTGGACACATACTGAGAAGAAATAAAAGATAGCCCTATATTGGACACATACTGAGAAGAAATAAAAGATAGCCCTATATTGGACACATCCTGAGAAGAGATAAAAGTAAGCCCTATATTGGACACATACTGAGAAGAGATAAAAGATAGCCCTATATTGGACACATACTGAGAAGAGATGAACTGAGAATCACCAGACAGGCATTGAATCAGATATACAGGGATGGAAGACAAAGGAGGACGTCCAAGAGAATGATGAGAAAAGCCAAATGATGTGGACTGGATTTCATCCATGATATCAAACTGATTATACAGGATAGAATGGAACAGAGAAATAGACTGCGAGCCCTATGTGACGTGTAATGGGATAACAAAGGAATAAAGAAAAGTGAAGATCCCTTTTCACGCCTTCGGGCATTAGGGAAGAGCACCCATATTTTTACAGACCAATCGGCACTGGGTGGGTAATGTGGTCAGCATTACGCCAGACGTCTTTTACTTTACTTCCCCCAGGACATACATCCTGGTACCCATTTTAGGCTGGATTGGCCTGCGACACCCCACACCATGATAAAAATCAATGTAGCCAGCAATGGGTTTCGTTCGCGGTACGTTGGAATTACGAGTCAGATTCACAACGGCTAAACCATTGACGCACCACAAGAAAAGAATGATGAATATTTTTCTCACACAAGTACATCAGAGATTGATGTTTTTATGTAAGAATCATTTATAGTATTAAAAAAAACAACACAAACATGATGACATCAACTGCTCCCTCTTCTGAAACAATGTGAAGAGTGCAGCGCTTGTCTGATACTAGTTTTGTGAGAAAATTGTACGCCTGAAATCTTTCTCTTCTAGTATTTTCAGGCTCCCAGTGGAGCATTGGACCCCAGCTATGCTCTTGTAGGATTTATTATGTGCTCTCTGTGATCATGCCAGTCTTATTTTCTTATTTCTGCCCCATAATGTTTTCTGTTTGTTTGTTTTTTGGTGTCTCTCTTTCTCATATAATGTGAGCGCTTTCTTTATTGTGGTCTGAAGACTAAGGGTTTTCTACAAAATAGAGTTATCGACCCCCATGGCTACTGTTTTGAACCACCACTTTGTAGAAAAAAGGAGTTACTATTTTGGTTTTCACGCACGCACGCACACACAAAACCAAACATGATGACATTAACTGCTCCCTCTTCTGAGACAATGTGAAGAGTGCAGCGCTTGTCTGATACTAGTTTTGTGGGAAGAATTGACATCTCTTTCTAATAATGGGGGGGGCTCCCTGGGCGAAGTGGTCAACCCGTTTGCTTTGTGCTCTGAAGGTCATGGGTTCATTCCCTGGCTGCGCCATTCAATTCACAAGTGCAGTTGATAGGGAGATCCCTGGGGATCGTTGCTAGAGCTATGGAGTTCATGCTGTGTGCGGCGCTCTCAGGCAGGCATTTAGCGGTTCTGCTATATGGGATAAAACCCAGTGCAGAGAAGTTGATCCTTTATAAAAGACACGCACAAAAATGTCTAATACTGCTTCACAGTGGACGGGGGCAGACATAATATTCATAACTGCACAGTCCGCGGTGACAGCACTAGCCATATGACCCTTAATCCTTAGGCTAAAAAAAAAAAAAAAATCACTCACGTGCATACACACACACACGCGCACCCCCGTGCAAATGGTGGTATATACAGGCAATAATTGATAGTTTTGTTTTTCGGGTTTGTAGAATGTTAACAGGTTATTGTAACTGTACACTTAGTTAGTTAGTTGATTAGTTACCCAATCAGGATTGAACACTGAACGATGTTTTGATTTTCTCTTGACCAGGAAGCCAAACTGACAGATCAGCTGCCGTTGATCATTGTGTGTGACCGTTTCGACTTTGTCCATGACCTTGTACTGTACCTGTACAGAAACAATCTGCAGAAGTATATCGAGATCTACGTTCAGAAGGTGAGAGCCATTGTGTTCTGTGTGGTTTTAGAGAATTTTCAGGGAACTCATGTACGGTGGAGTCTGGGAAGACTCTAACATATGCCAGAAGTTTGATGTGTCCATTGAAGGGCACAGTTCCCTATGTGGGTTCTGGGGCACCATTATTTTGCGGAAACAAGAATAGGCTCAAAGCCCCCAGCAAGCATGTAGTAAAAGGTGACTAATTAGAGGTATTTTGTGCCTGAGAGGCTAGGAACCAGAGGTCTGCATACAAATAAGCCAGATCTGTAAAACGGGTTTGCATGCAAACACAAGTCTTTTATAGCAAGAGCAGGCGAAGAACTCGTACTTTCTGCCAGAGTTTACAGCCTGTGAACCTTAAGAAGTAGTGTTTCCTTCAGACCTGTGTCTGTTCGTGTTCAGCTGTTGATCGTTTTCTTTGCCATTCTGCTTATCCCTTTGTCAGCCTCTGTTTTCAATGTCTTATTGACCTTATTGGAAGCCACGGCACACAAATCACAGTTTTGCTGTTCTACTTCTACATTCACCATTACAAGGATGGTTAGCATGTTGTAGTTTACAGCTAAGCTGTGATATATGAGCCTTTCGACTCCACATTAATTTCAGTTAACTCCTAATTTGTCGCCAGCATGCTTATTAGGCCATAGTGGGTCTGTTCTTATTTCTCCCCAAAGTTCTGCAGTTACAACAGCAGAGAGAAGGGGGTGAACACTGACAAGTCTCCTTTGCCGTCGTGCACACCTGACTTCATGACCTCCACAACTGATTCACCTCAGTCACTGTTTCTGTTCTGCATGTGTTTTTATAAGCTTTTATTAATTGTGATTTGTTTGTTAATCTGGACAAGATTTTGTGTCAGATTTGTTTAAATCTAGTTTTATACAACTCTGGATAGTATGTTAACCAAGAGAAGATGGAAATGGCTTGGCCACGTTATGAGAATGAATTCTGATATACCTGCCAAAACAGCTCTCACATGGATACCAGAGGGAAAGAGAAAAAAAAAGGTCGCCCAAAAACAACATGGAGACAAACGATGTACAATGACCTGAGTGTGGCATCTTTGACATGGAAAACTGCATTGAAGATTGCACAGGACAGGAAAGCATGGAAAGCCCTCTCTGAAGCCTCATGTGCCACTAGGCATAACGAGAACTAATGATTTTATTACAGTTGGCCCTGTGGATTCCAGTGCAAGATCATTCTAGTTATAAAATTCCTTTCCTCCTCACATCTTAGTATGCTGGAATTTTCTTAGTTCTATCCTAAAGCTCTGTATTAGTGTTTCTGTCATACCATTTAATTTCTTGTGTTCTCCATGGGCACCAGTAAATGTATGTTTGTATTTAATTAGTAATTAATTGTTTTAAATCTGTTTTATAGTTATGAATTTAAATGATGACATAATATATTGCACATTTTATTGCATGACATATTTTGCAGTGCATCACTGTCGGGTACATTACTATAGAGTTTACATCAACTTATAATGAAGCACAAAACGTGATTCCTTTCAACTGAAGTACACAGCTTACATTGGCTCATTTTACACTGTACGTCTTACCATTGCAAGTATAGGATTAACCATATGATCACCAGGGAAATCTAAGAAGTACTTGGTGTAGCTAGTTTGAAGTTTGAACAACAGATCAACATCATGGCACACGGGTCGTAACCCATAAATGCTCTGTTCTTCTTCTAACTCAAGTCTTGAGTCCGAAGAAGCTCAGCACAGTGCACAGGCTCTGTAGCACATCCTGAAATACTCTGGGTAGATTTTTAACTCCTAATTCTGCCCTGGCAGCGCCGTTAGGCTACTCTTTATGATTTCCAATTGCCAAGGGATTTTTTTAAACGTGCGAAGCAATGCACACGGGTGTCCGATCTCACTACCCAGAGACCAGGGGGAATTACTAGGGGGAAGAATAGACCCACTGCTCCCTTGACAAGCATTCCGTAAAAGTAGACTAATCAGAGGTGTTTCCTTCGGAGTCAGAGTGCATCTGCTTGAGAGGCAAGGGCCCAACAGTTTGCAAACAAATAAGCTACATCTGTAAAATGGATGTGCACGCAAAGCTCAAATTCTGGAACAGGACTAAAGTATAGAATTGGATGTTTGACCAAAACTTTCCTCTTTAGTTTACAGCTGGTGAACTAGAAGAAGATGAAAATTACAACAGTTGTAGGAGATAAGAAAGGTACCTGAGATTTATCTTGTTGAAATGGATCCATTTTGGTGGCACTCTGAAGAGGTGAAAATTGTGAATCAATTATTTTGGTTGTGAGTTATAAGTGTCGGCTTGAATAATCCTACAGGTCAACCCCTCTCGCCTGCCAGTCGTTGTCGGAGGTTTGCTGGACGTGGACTGTGCCGAGGACATCATCAAGCAGCTGATCCTGGTGGTCAAGGGCCAGTTTTCCACTGATGAGCTGGTCGAGGAGGTGGAGAAGAGAAACAGGTCAGAACAGTCAGATGGGCTTTTGTTTTCTGTTGATTATGATCTCTCTGTGATCAGATCAACATTTGTAAATGTAACTGGTACTTACATAAGCCTCCTTGACATACTGTATTTCCCCAAATGTAAGACGATCCCGTGTATAATATGTATAACAAGTTTGGTGGGAAGAAAATGTAATTGCACAAAGTAATTGAACTCACATTTTATTCATCATAGAATCCAGAAAACTCCTCATCACTGTCAAAACTTTCATCCATATGATAGTTCTTTAGCTTGTCCTCATCTGTGTCTGATGACAAATCAATCACTCACTTCGTATATTGCCTCATCCTCAGTTCAGTTTGAGGCACACTTCTTGAATGACTTGACAAGGATCTCAATCTTCACATTATATACCTGGATCTTTTCACCCATGTACAAACTTCTCCTATAGTTGGTTTCTTCACACTGCTATCTGGTGTCAGACTGTCCCCTGAAGACTTGATCTGTGTGGTTCCATTAATCTCTTATGGCAACTTTTATGTCAACCTGAGATTACAGGATCTTAATTTGGATGGCAAGCCAACAGGACAAATACGGTGTCCATCACCCACTACAGAGGTTATAATTGGGGCACCCATAACGGGTCCACTAGCCTGGTGCTACTGACAGTCCTGTATTGGTAAGGAGAATGATGATGAGGTGCACTTTTGTATAGTCAGAATAACACACACACACAGCCACACATGAGTAGGGTGAACAGTATATTGTTCAGCACCCACCCACACACTTTATGTTTATACTAACTCACACACCAATTTAGGTATTTGTTGATAAATCTGGGGGTAAGCCATATAATATTCATATTGTGCAACACACCCATGTGAATGCTAACTTGCATACCACATACTTATGTATTTGTTGATAAATGTGTGGGGTAAGCCATATATTATTCATATTGTGCAACACACCCATGTGAATGCTAACTTGCATACCACATACTTATGTATTTGTTGATAAATGTGTGGGGTAAGCCATATATTATTCATATTGTGCAACACACCTACCCACACACTTTATGAGTATACTAACTCACACACCACACATGTTTGTATTTGTTGATAAATGTGTGGGGTAAGCTGTAGATAGTTCATGCCCACACAATTTATGGGAATACTCGCAACACCACACATGTATATTTTTGTTGATAAATGTGTGGAGTAGGCTGTATATAGTTCATATTGTACACCACACCCACCCACACAATTTATGTGTATGCTCCCACACCACACATGTATATTTTTGTTGATAAATGTGTGTGGTAAGCCATATAAAGTTAATATTATGCAACACACCCACCCACACAATTTATATGCATACTCACACCACATATGAATGCATTTGTTGATAAATGTGTGGGGTAAGCTGTATATTGTTCAAATTGTGCAACTAAGTGCCCACAGGTGAGTACAGTGGCGAGAGCTGCACACGAGGGAACGGGTGTATCTCTTTGGTTTGTTCGTAACGGAGGAGACAGGCTTGAATCTGGGGGGTCCGGTTGATACCGATTTATGCCTGTTGCTTATTATGGTCTGGTTAAAATAGTTGATGCCCGTTGTTAGTTGGGGTCAGATTATTCAGTCTAAAGTCTCACATAAGTTTTTTAACCAGCATGTTACTGCACCATATATCTATCTGTATTCAACTGGCCATAAAGTTAATCTGAGAAAATATTGGATTTTTCCCAATGTTTGCTGCAGATACACAAGAGAATTATATGCTGTAAATATTCTACTCTTGGTATCTTGTGTAATTTGGGGAATTTTTCTGTGGCTGCCACCAGTTACCACCAGTGGGCACATGATGTTTGTCTGCTATTGGATCCGGCAACTCTGCTACTATGAAATTTTTAGCTTTATGGCTAGAGAAGTGAATTCATTGCTGATTGCAGTTCGTAGATGATAAGGTTAAAGAAAAATGTATAAGAATATACACTAGACTGTAAGAAAATTATAATCTGGAAGTACACCAGATTCGAACCTGTCACCTCGTGGATGGAACATTTATTTATACTTTGATTTGCCTGTTCCAGTTAATTGTCACTAGTACAATTGTTCCATCTGTGAAGTAACAAATTAGAATCGGGTGTACCTTGAGCTATCATTTTTTTTTCTGCTGTTGTCTAGTGTATCTTCTGTTTTTCACTGCCCCCCCCCCCTTCCCCCCCCCCCCCTTTCCCCCCCCCCCCCCCCCCCCCATGAAATGTCAATCATTATTTTCTCAGATGAATTCATTTCTCATTTTACTATGATAGTCTCAGACTCCCTTCCCCAGAAGCTGCTTTTTTTTTAATAACTTTGTTCATCACTTGAAATTACGTTTTTGGTAGAAGTTAATAAAGCTGTGGGGGGGGGGGGGGGGGGGGGTGTGTGTGTTTATGTGAGTTGAGAGAGTTAATGATTCCGTTAGTTTTATTTAATTTGTTTCTTGGGGGGGGGGGGGGGGGTCTAAGTAGCTATAAATGCACACATTGATAAAGCAACAATATTAGTTTGTTTTTTGAAGTTAGTTTCAGCAGATTTTTCTGTTGTTCAGTTTAGTTGTATGGATTAAACAAACGGTGGTAGATAAAGCATTCTGCTGGGCCGGCAGAAGTGACCCATCTAGTCTCTGTACATGAAGATGGTTTTTTTTTTTACTTGTCCCCCGCCTCTTAACTGCATGATACTTTATTGTCATTTTTTAGTTGTGATTTCTGCTAGGTCCTTTCCATGTTTACTTGACTTTATGGAGGACACTTGATTTGCTTTAGTTTGGATATATTGCGTTTATTATTAACTGTTCTGTTCTGCACCTTTTGTTTTGTGTAAGGTTTGATTTTGACATTATTGGCATGGCATGCAGGTTATGGTTTATGCCATTATGGCTGGTCGACTGCGGCGGTGTCAAAATGAGCCACTATTGGGCACCTCTTTCTGTGTGCCTACTGCCTTGTGGTCTTTATGTCCCAGTGGAGCATAGGCGCTCTGTCAATCTGTGCTGAATTTTTTGCCATGTCCTGTTGTAGCTCTTTCCACTGCATATGTAAATTAACTGCAGATAGGGATTCTGAAAAGATAAACAAAGCTCAACAGGCATTTGTCAGCACCATCATCTTGTAACAGATCCTTTGCAAAGAATTTCTGTCATCACAGCCTGCTTGTAAAAAAAACCTGGTCTCTCATAACTGAAAGACAAACACCTGGAAGGCTGGACTGCACAACCAGGTACACATTTGCTGATTGCCTTGTTTGTCCTGTGAGCAGCTGAAGAATGAGGACGTTTAGTTTGAAAATGCCAACAACAACCAGCGGTACCATCTGTCCTGCCAGCCTTTGTTTCTATGTTTTTTTCTTTTCTTTTGGCACAGTTTTGTTTTTTTCTTTCTCTTCCTCTTATACTTGTAAGTGTTCATTGTGTGTGAACTCCTGTGGAAATTCCTGGTTGTTCATCCATTTCTGGACTTTGATCTTTTTTTTCAGAACTTGAGTTTTCATGTGCACTCTGTTTTACAGATGTGGCTTATTTGTATGCAGACTATAGGTTCCACACTTTTCAGGCAGATGTACTCCAACTTCGAAGGAAACACCCCCAATTAGTTGCCCTTTACAACATGTTTGTAGTTAGGGGGGGGGGGGGGGGGTTCCCTAATCTTTTACCCCTTAAAATAGGACCCCCTTGAACCCACACAGCGAATGTTTTCTTTGAGGTCATTCAGAACACCCCCCCCCCCCCCCCCCCTTTTTTTTCCCCTTGTTATTCGGATTATTATTATTATTTTAAAAGTCTTTTATAGTTTCAGGTTCACTATATTAGCATGTTTTTTGTTTGAGTTGTTATTTAGTTTTTATGTTTGCATCTTGAAATGTATGAGTTTTTTTGTAATTCTACTTGTTTGGGTTCAGTAGTCACCCAGTAGGGGATATGGTTCTGCCAAACGCTTCATATTTTACATTGAGAAAAAAAAAAAAAAACAGAAGGTTAAGGTTTTTTCTCTAAACAGTGTCCACCAAATGAGAAACCCCTTCTCTAGAATCTGTGACGGCCTAATACTGGACACGTCTACAGCAGCATGACATAACCCCATTTTGGCATGACTCCATCTGAAAACAGAAGAAGGGTTTGCATGTCTCAAAGACCCCCCCCACTTCCCAAGAGCAGTAGCTTCTGTTTGTTCAAGTTTGGCAGGTCAAAAGATGTGGTTAGCTTCTAACCTGCGTCTCCAGAGTTGTACAGGTCAGGGAGCTTGCATGTCCCTTTGACTCTCAATTGAACAATTCAACAGGATCATGTCGTAGTGACTTTGGGGCTACAGTGACTCCCGAGCTACAATGACCCCTGTCCCACACTATATTTTCTGACATGGTTTCCCAGGGTGCACAGATCTAGACATTTGCATGTCCCAGTGACCCCCAAGAGCTATAGATACAGCCAGGGTTTTCACACAAGTTCGACAGGTCAGAGAGCTTGTATATTCTCCCAGTTACGCATTTAACAAGTTTAAATGAAGCATTGTAACATTTAGAGTTAGAAATCTGATTCTTAAACACTGGATGTTAACTATAGCGACTTGTCATTTTGTCAGTCAACAGTCTTAAGCCAGGCTAGAAAGGAATCACGTCCCACCATTTTGGCCCAAACCGGAAGCCTTTCTCATGCCAGAGACATCTAAATCCCCTTTTAACATATGTTCTTGAACTCATTTTGATAACAGTCAGTATTAAGCAGCTTAATAGTGAAGCATTTTAATCTCCTTATCCTCCTCTTACTGAGTGTTAGTCCATTCTGTCTTAATGCTTTCAGTACCCACCAGAAGATTTGGCAGCCAATGCCCAATTGGCAAACATTTATGACAGCTAACACAAGGCTTAACACATTAGGTCACTTAAGGGACCAGATTTCATTATATTGTCTGCCCAAAATTAAAATGTAAGAGAAAACACTGTCAGATGGTTGTGACTCATTAGCAGTGTACCATTGCACACTATGCACTGTTTGGGTCTCAAAGAGCTGAGATTTCATTGAGCTCATTTTGCCCTTTTTTTTTTTTTTTACTTTTTATCCTTGTATGGGTTTGGGGACCCCATTTCGGGAGGAGTAAAGACCCACTACCCCTTTAACGAGCATGTCGTAGAAGTAGACTAATTAGGGTGCATCTGCCTGAGAAGCATGGAATCAACAGTCTGCATACAGATAAGCCAGATCCGAAAAACAGATTTGTGTGTACACAACACCCTGGTTCTGGAACAAGGCTTAAAAAGTCCAGAAGCAGATGAACAAGAACTTTCTGACAGAGCCTACAGCCAGTGAACTTAAAGAAAACTAAGAATAAGAAGAACCAAGGAATGCATCATACTTTCAGAGGGTTGCCATCTAAAAGCCCAATGAACACAACACATGCTGATTTTACGTCACTCTGCTACCTCTTGGGCCTCTGATGCCAAACTCCCTGAGACTGAAAGAGTTAAAAGGAGTGTGGTCAGACAAGAGCACACTCTGTGGGAAGTCAAAGAAGAATGAGAAACTGACAAAGAAAGGGTATTTTCAGCAGTCACATGCTGCAGGATTTACTGAGGACAGGATCCGAGCACTTATGGATTCAATGGTTTGATGTGCAGTGTGGATAATCTGTCGACTAACAAAACTAACACTTCTGCCGTGGCTTCCTACCTAGTGCTCTTGGCTGGCCGCATCCCTTTTTAACCTGCTGTTTTTGTGCTCGTCTGCTCATAGTTGCAGATTCACATTAGTCATTTGCATCATTCATCATTCAACGTCTGGCGGCCAGCGTAATGCCATCTTGTGTCATCCATGTTTTCTGTAAATGGTGCTATGATGTTTGTAGATGTAATACTTGTCATTTTATCTGTAGACTGAAGCTGCTGTTGCCATGGCTGGAAACAAGAGTCCTAGAAGGTGTCACCGAGCCGGCCACACACAACGCCCTGGCCAAAATTTACATTGACAGTAACAACAACCCAGAGAGATTTCTCAGGTAACAGTTGCAAATTTTTCACAGCTTAGAGAGTCAGCCACAACACAACATGCCAGCTTCCATGTTTAATTGAGAATCCACATCACAGCACTCAGGACATTCCCATACGCCCTCCGTCCCCATGTGCAGCAGCAGGCGCAGAGTTCCAGTTCCATCAGTACCAATAGCAGTCTGATGGTATATCTGTCTGGCCTTTGCCTTGAGTGCTGATCCTCGACCAGATCCCCTGATCACTCCTGGTAGAAACATTCTCTTCAGATAATGATGATCTGTCTGTTACCTTTTAAAGGTGAATGTAGATGAACAAGAAGTCTTTAGGAAATTTTCTTAGGTATTTATCATTTGGGTTTGCTTCCTTGTGGCATTGGAGAGGGGGGGGGGGGGGGGGTTTGCCACACGTTTAGGGGGATGGGGGGTCTTGCCATATAATCAAGGGGCGGGGGGGGGGGGGGGGGGTCTTGCCATATTTACAATCTTTTGAAAGCAGTCTTTTGGCAAATATTTGGACCAATCAGAGATGCAAACAGCAGATAATGGAGAGTAAGAAGCAACAGCATGCTGGGTCTTGCCATATACTCAAGAGAAAGAGGCATGGAGTCTTATACTGAAGAAAATAAGTAGGGGGTCTTGAAATATACTCAAGAGAAAGAGGCATGGAGTCTTATACTGAAGAAAATAAGTAGGGGGTCTTGCCATATACTCAAGAGAAAGAGGCATGGAGTCTTATACTGAAGAAAATAAGTAGGGGGTCTTGCCATATACTCAAGAGAAAGAGGCATGGAGTCTTATACTGAAGAAAATAAGTAGGGGGTCTTGCCCTATACTCAAGAGAAAGAGGCATGGAGTCTTATACTGAAGAAAATAAGTAGGGGGTCTTGCCGTTTACTCAGGAGGGGGGGGGGGGCGCACTTGCCACACGTTTAGGGGAATTGGGGATGGAGGGTCTTGCCATATAATCAAGGGGCCTTGGGGGTCTTGCCATATTCTCAAGGGGGCATGGTGGAGCGTCTTGTCGTGTACTCAGGGGCGCCCCACCTGGAAAAGATTGGAGAATACTGGTCTAAATCACCCCTAATTACCGGCACCAAAAGGGCTAACATGCATGTCCTAGGAGTCGACTAACTGGACATCCTTCAAAATCACAGCGCCTCTGCCTGAGAGGAAGGAACCAGCAGTCTGCCTACAGATAAGTCAGATCTGTAAAACAGATGTGCACACAAAACTCAAGTTCAATTACAAGCCTAAAGTCCAGAAGTGAATGACCAACCAGAACTTTTCAGTCTGAGTTTACAGCTTGTGAAAGCTAAGAAGAAAATGAGAAGAAATGACATTGTTTGAGAAGACTGGATGTCAGATACACTACCCTGTGGCTTCAGGTTATACAGCATTTCTGTTACTTGATTGTATTTACAGAGAAAACCAGTATTATGACAGCCGCATTGTGGGCAAGTACTGCGAGAAGAGGGACCCACATTTGGCCTGTGTTGCCTATGAGAGGGGCTTGTGTGATGAGGAACTCATTAGGGTATGTGTGAACTTTGAACTTTGTTCTTCCGGCATAGACTTTTGTTCTTCTTGCTCTAGGTGTCTGCACTTGCCTCTAACACCTATTGATATGGTGTAGGTCTTCTCAGAGTAGATCCAACAGGAAGCATGTGTTAATTATCATTGTGTTCTGTCTGGCAAAATAAGTCACAGTAATATTACTCATGAAAGCGGAAGAGGTTCTGACGCTCAGCGCTCAGGGAAAAGGCAAGACGGGTGTACAATCAGACAGTTACTGGCATCATCGGAATTTGAACTCTTCACTTGCTGCTCAAGATGGGGACAGAGTGCTTATGGAAAGTTCAGAGTTCTGTGATGTCGATTTTTTAATTCAACATTTACAAAAGCAGAGAAAAGAAGTAGAGAAGGCACTCTCTAGACAACATAATAAACTTCAGCTGCACTAAGTCATCTCATGATAGACCCAGGATTAAGCAAACAGTAGTGTTTATGTACTGAAAACCCAGAAAGATGCCAACAGATTGTGGTAAATCTAAATATTAAAAAAAAAAAAAAAAAAAAAAAAAAAACATTCAACAGTTGTAGATAATATTAATCTTAATAAGTTTTAATTGAACTGTTGCAGTTAATACTTATCCAGTGTGGTCTTCCACACTTTGTCAGTGGTGAAACAGACCATAGCTAGTCAAGATTATAATTCTAGCTAAAAACAAATCAAAGAGATTGAATAGGAACCAGTCACAGACTCTTGAAGCAGAACCTCAAATCGTCTTAGTCAGGTCTTATACAACTGAGCAGCTGTGGGGGCCGATCATAGGAGTCAGGCAAGAGTTTAACATTTTCTCACGGCCTTGCAGGGGTATAGTATGTTTCAGCTATAATTATGATCTTGACAAGTTACAAGTTGCGGTCTGTTTCACAAACAAGTAAGGAATCTGACATCAGACAATTGTGCATCATGGATAAATTGATTGTATATAATTTATGCAAACGACAAACATCAGTGACTATCTTAACAAGCATTAACTGAACATTTGTAGATAATCTCTAAATAAGTATTAATTCAGAAGTTGAATAATGAACTGAAGAAATATTGTTTGAGCAGTTGCGCATACAATATTTAGATGTGTAAGTCAGTGATTCGTAAACTGTGGGCTGCGGCACCCCGGGGAGCTGCAACCTCTTTACAGGGGCACTGCTTAATATTCGAAGATACACAGGTTTTTTTCTTTTTCTCTTACATACAAATAGTCATACCTATACTCAGGTTAGGGCGCCGTGGAAAAATCTCAATTAAAAAAAAAAAAAAAAGGGTGCTGTGACTAAAAGAAGTTTAGGAAACACTGATGTAAGTTTTAATTTAGCCAGTGTAAACTCACTTTTTAACTAAATGATAATTTGTTTGTTTGTTTAGTGACTGATATATATATTTTTGAGTTAGAAAAGGTGAACTTATCTCAGATTGTTTCCATGTCCAGGTGTGTAATGAAAACTCCCTGTTCAAAAGTGAAGCTCGCTACCTGGTTCGCAGACGTGACCCGGATCTGTGGGCGACTGTGCTGAGTGAGGAGAATGAGTTCAAGAGACAGCTCATTGACCAGGTAGGTGGATGCTTTGTTTGACTGCTGGGTGGCATAGATGATGGTGTTTCCCTCATCTACACCTTCAGCAAATGGGGGCTGCATGAGACGGAGCATCTGTGGGTATGTCTGATATGCTGTTGATTCCTAGTAAAAGGTAAAGTCGGTAGATGTAAACGAGCGTCATTGCACACGGTTATAAACCATAAGTACTCTTCCACCAGAACGGACAGCTGATAAGAAACTTCCCGCCTGTGTCACCGTCAGCACGCAGCTCTATACATAGCTACAGCGACATTCCTCCATTTACCTGCAGCAAGTCGCAGCTGGATTGGAAAACGAGTCTCCTATCGACTGCTCTAATGCGGCCCCTGTTCCATGTGTAAGTGTTGATTCTTAAATCGGTAATCAACTGGAGGCCAATTTTTTGGGAATGAAAAGAAGGCTCACAGTCCCTCTGACAAGCAGGTTGTAAAAGATGACTAATGAGGGGTGTGTCCTTCAAAGTCTGAGTGCGTTTGCCTGAGAGGAGAGAAACCAACAGTCTGCATAGAAGTAAGCTAGGTATGTAAAACGAATGTGCAAACAAAACTCAAGTTCTGGGACAAGACTAAAGTTCAGAAGCGAACGAACGGCCAGAACTTTCTGCTGTAGTTTACAGCTGGTGAAAATATTTGATAAGTCGCAAGCAGTGGTAAAAGATAGAACTAGTTGGCGCAAGTTTGTTGAGGACCTGCGGAACATTGACAGATGAAGGAAGGATATAAAAAAGAGACATTATGTGAGGATATTTGAATGTATCTGGTCCTGAATCAGTTTTAGGAGCAGTTTTATCTGTTTGATGAATTGTTTCCCTATTTTGAAACTCAGGTTGTGCAGACAGCCTTGTCTGAAACCCAGGACCCAGAGGAGATATCAGTGGCTGTGAAAGCTTTCATGACGGCCGATCTGCCCAATGAGCTGATTGAGCTTCTGGAGAAGATTGTCCTGGATGTCTCTGTCTTCAGTGACCACAGGTGAGCTCAATGGGAGTCAGTTGTCACAACGTTCCTTGCTTGGATTCCAGGGTCCGGTTGTGGTGGAAAAAACAATAGATCTACTGAGAGAGAGAGAGAGAGAGAGAGAGAGAGAGAGAGAGAGAGAGAGAGAGAGAGAGAGAGAGAGAGAGAGAGAGGAGGGAGGGAGGGAGGGAGGGAGGGAGGGAGGGAGGGAGGGAGGGAGGGAGGGAGGGAGGGAGGGAGGGAGGGAGGGAGAGAGGGAGGGAGAGAGAGAGAGAGAGAGAGAGAGAGAGAGAGAGAGAGTTAGAGAGTTAGAGAGTTAGAGTTATAACATATCCTTATACAAGACACTGCAGAACCAACCCTAGCATTTTTCGGCTGTTATTGTTTTTCTAGGCAGATAGTAGTTTGTCATTGCTTACTGAAAGGTCGGCTCTTGATACCACTGTCAAAAACAACGCAAGACTATCTGCACCCAAATGAAACCCGACACTCTGGCATTACGAAACACCTTTGCCACTCCTAAGCTACATATGCTTCCAGCAGGCTTGTCATAAAAGTTGACTAATTACTGGTGTTTCCTATGAAGTCAGTGCATCTGCCTGAGAGACAAGGAACCAGCAGTCTGCATACAAATAAGCTAGGTATGTAAAATGGATGTGCTTACAAAACTCAAGTTCTGGGACAAGACAAGGTCCAGAAGTGGACGAACAGTCAGAACTTTCAGCTGGAGTTTACAGCCGGTGAACATGATGAAGAAGAAAAAGCTGCGATGTCTGGTAGATGGGCTCCTTGGTGGATAACAGGTGGTACTTGGAGAACAAGACATTTGCTTTTGTATTCCCAGTTCCCCATGTTAGTTCCCAGACCCCATTGTGAGGGGGCAAAAAAAAAAGAGAGAATAGACCTGCTTCTCCTGAAAAAGTATGTTGTAAAAGGGGACTCGGGGTTTATTGAAATCTGATGTTGGGCCAAAAGATGCAACATATCACAGCCTGTGTTTATACCATGATAGGATGTTTGTGTGTGTGTTTGTGACCACAGCAGTATTTGTGTGTGCGTGTGCTCACACACATATGTGTGTGCATGTGTGTGTGTCTGTACACTTATCCCTTGATGTCTGATTATCGTCTTCTTCACTTCCTGCAGTTACATCATTGAATTGTTTCAGGGAAATTAAAGAATATTTCCATTGTGTTGTTGTATAAGGTGGTCTTCATTTCTTCAAGGCTGTTCTTGATGGGTGGTCTTCCCTTTGCTCTGTGTTCACTATATGCAGTTGTTACCAAGGCATTGTCCTGTGCACCAGCTGTAGGATAACCTGGAAAATACATGCTTTAGTTCTCACATTGAACATCTTCTGTAGGGGAGTTACACATGGGTAGAAGATGTTGAAACTGGCTTCTAGGCCTCTGCTGTGTTATAAAGATGTGTGCAAGTGGTACATGATTGATACGTTATTGAAGTAGATTTGCGGGAACGAATTGCCATGGACAGTGTTGTGTTGGAGGGGCAGATCATAAAGGGGATGAGAACGAAGGAACAAAAATGATTGCAAAAAGAATGAGAGTTGAGAAAGTTTGAGAAGAAGCTTGCTGAATACATGTGATGGCAGCAACTGTACTGACATCCCATGCTTGAATTTTACAATACTTTTCTTAATGTGGGTGGGTCTTTTTAACACCAGGGGCTGTGAGTCCCAGTCCTCCTCGAGCACAAATTTAACACTATCCTCTGGAAAGAGGCAAAAGGTAATGTGTTGAACAATCCAATGTGTCGGTTTGTGACAGGAACCTACAGAATCTGCTGATCCTGACAGCCATCAAAGCTGACCGCACCAGGGTCATGGAGTACATCAACAGGCTGGATAACTACGATGCCCCAGATATTGCCAACATCGCCATCACCAATGAGCTGTATGAAGAGGCCTTTGCCATCTTCAAGAAGTTTGAAGTCAACACATCTGCTATTCAGGTGAGAGATAGGATTGAGAGAAATGGAGAGAGAGGAGAGAGAAATACAAATATGTGTGTGAAAGAGAAAAATGTGCGTGTGAGAGACGAGCGAGAGGGAGATGTATATATATATATATATATATATTTGTGTGTGAAAGAGATAAGTGATATATATATATGTATATGTGTGTGTGTGTATATATATATATTTGTGTATGTGAGAAAGAAAAAGAATTGTGTGTGTGTGTGAGATAGGAAAGAACTGAGATGCAGGAGGAGGGGGGAATGTGTGTATGAGATAGAGGGGAGAGAAAGAGATGTGGGTGCTTGTTTGTTTTCATTCTTGACATTATCAGAAAATGCTGACATTTAACATAAGGTATTGCTTCTATAGAAAGATTCTTAATTTCACACATAATCATTGTGATTTATCATCATCATCCTCCTCATATAGGTAATTAATCTCAGAATAATGCATCATGCAGATAGCATAGATTTATTTCAAATTGTGTTTGTGTTTGAAGTCTGCTCCCTAATAGTGGCTTCAACCACAGTGAACCAACAAGGCATATTTTGGATGTCAGATTACAAGTAATAATCACAGATAACTTCTTCAATGTTATAAGTCAGTTATAAGGGCTTTCTTTAAAACTCGGGGACTTTATGATGCTATGAAGACAGCATGACAAGCAGGTTTTTGTTTGTTTGGTATGCAGCACAAATGTTTTGTAAACATATATTATTTGTTAGCACTACTGTAATAGTCATTAAAGACGATAAAACACAGAAAATTGAAATATTCTGGTCACTTGAAACATCAGGAAAGTTTAAAGAGAACAGTAATGCTTGGGAAGAGAAGAAGAGGAAGGCCAAAGAGATGATGGGTGCAGGTTGTGGCAGATGATCTCCAGATGGGTGTATCGGACACAGGACATCTAGCTTGTGATTGAGAAGTTTTCCTGAAGGTTGTTATGGAAGCAAGGTTCTCCAAAGGACATGCTACTGACTGACTGACTGTAATAGTCACTTTGAGGTGATTAGCTGCACTTTTTAAATTTTATTTAAAGACACTTTTTGGTTAGTACTGGCAGTTTTCTTTAAAAAAAAAAAAAAAAAAAACTTGATAACAGGAATTTTTGTTTTCACTTGCAGGTTTTAATAGACAATGTCAACAACCTAGACCGGGCGTACGAGTTTGCAGAGAGGTGTAACGACCCAGCGGTGTGGAGCCTGTTGGCCAGGGCACAGCTAGCCAGGGACTTGGTGAAGGAGGCCATTGACTCGTACATCAAGGCTGATGACCCGTCCCAGTACATGGAGGTTGTGACTGTCGCCAGTAAAAATGGTGAGTTTGGTCACTGGCTGTCTATCAAGTCCTGTGCTAGTCTGGGCAGAGAGAGTCTGTGTGGGTGTGTGTGAGAGAATGAATTTATCCATGTGAGTTTGTAGTGGCGTGTGATAGATATTTCTGGGTGAGAAAGGTACATTTATGTGTGAGAGATTGTAATTCTACCATTACTGTATGTCTGCCCTAGTCCTGGCAGTAAAGAATTAGTTTCCCAGACTTGCTTTATATTGAGCTTTCTTCTGTGCTAGCCCTGTATTTCTGTAAACCAAAAATGTGTTTTAAAGAGGAATGGTGAGGGTTGGGGAGATACACTCTGACAGAGAGAGAATGGAAAGAACAGGGAGGGGGATGGAGGTGGGAGATGGATTAATATGGGGGGGGGGGCAGAGGTGGGAATGAGAAGAAAGATGGGGAGAGAGAAATAGCTAGAAAGAGAGAGACAGAAAGAGGTAGTGTATGGAAGAGAGGCATAGAAGAAGGATAGAGGATGATAGGGATAGGAAGAGAGGGAAAGGAATTAAGATAGTTGGTGACATAAAAAAGATGTAGTGGAAAAGGGAAAGCATGCAAAAGGTTATTTCTATTGTCCCAACATTGGCTTCAGTTGATTGAATTATTTGCAGAAAACTGGGAGGACTTGGTGAAGTACCTACAGATGGCACGCAAGAAGGCTCGGGAGACATTTGTTGAGACAGAACTAGTCTACGCATATGCAAAAACCAACAGACTGGCCGACATGGAAGAGTTTATTTCAGGGCCCAACCATGCTAACATCACCCAGGTGGGTACAGGCTCTTCTTCGTAGGCTTTCCAGATTTTGTAAAATACAAAACAGAGTGACGACTCATTGTTTGTTTATAATGGCATTGTCACTACTAATAAGCTATAAAATATACATAATGAACACACTAAACTTGCTCTATAGTTAAAAAGAAAATAATAACGGGTGAAATTCTAGGAAAATGAGTATCTGCCAACCCTAGTTCTCTGTCTGTAGGAAGGTTTTCTTTCCTGACAATTTCACTAGGACAAGTCTTGCAGAGTAGGAGTCATAGGTAGGTGCTTTACTAGAAGAAGAATATCGTCATGTACAACCAGCATCCCTGAAGGGGAAGGTTTTGGTTATAATTGTGACTAGGTTATATGCGCCATATAAAATGGCTTAGCATTGCACGCCACTGAGCCCTGAAAAGGATTCCTGCAGTGGTGATGCGATCTTCTTCTTCTTCTTCACGTTCACCAGCTGTACACTCTGGCGGAAAGTTCTGGTTGTTCGTCCACTACTGAACTGCAGTCCTGCTCCAGAACCTGAGTGTTGCGTGTGCATCAGTTTTACAGATCTCATTCTCTCGAATACAGACTGTTGGTTCCTTGCCTCTCCGGCAGATGCACTCCGACTTCAAAGGAAGCTCCCCAATTAGTCGACTCTTACGACATACTTTTGGGGAGGCAGTGGGTCTATTCTTGTTTTCCCCTACAATGGGGCCCCGGAACCCACACGGGGGATTGATGCGATCAAAGGAGACAGTCCTAAAACTGTCCTGACAGGCGACAAAGTCATCTACTGGCCAGCCAATAGGCGACCCAGACACAGTCCTAAATACTGTCCTGACCGGCGACAAAGTCACCTACGACCCAGACACAGTCCTAAATACTGTCCCGACCGGCGACAAAGTCACCTACTGGCTAGCCAATAGGCGACCCAGACACAGTCCTAAATACTGTCCTGACCGGCGACAAAGTCACCTACTGGCCAGCCAATAGGCGACACAGACACAGTCCTAAATACTGTCCTGACCGGCGACAAAGTCACCTACGACCCAGACACAGTCCTAAATACTGTCCTGACTGGCGACAAAGTCATCTACTGGCGAGCCAATAGGCGACCCGGACACAGTCCTAAATTCTGTCCTGACCGGGGACAAAGTCACCTACTGGCCAGCCAATAGACGACCCAGACACAGTCCTAAATACTGTCCTGACTGGCGACAAAGCCATCTACTGGCCAGCCAATAGACGACCTGGACGCTGATGAGTAGGAGTCTATATCTTCTTCGGCTTTATATCTCTCAGTAGAGCATAGGCCCTCAGGAGGCTCACGCCAGGTTGTCCTATCCTTTGTTAACGCATGCAGTTCATCCTTTGTCATTCCCGTTTAAAGCCATTTTTGTTAAAACTTCACTTTCTTGTTCACTTCTCCATGTGTTTTTTGGTATGCTGATTTTCCTTTGACCCTGTGGGTTTCAGTGCAGTGACATTCTAGTTAAATTGTTCAAGTTTTCTCAACAAGCGTCATTCCTATCCAACGCAAGCATATTTCCCCCTCACTCCTTGATTCAATGGAATTTTAGTTCTCTCCCAAAGCTGGTACATTAGTGATTCTGTAAAACCTATTTATTTCCCTCCTTCTGTTGGAGTAGGAATTATCTATATTTAATTATTGTAGGATTTAAAAAAAATTGACACACAGCCAGTTTTTGTCTTTTGCGCGGAGCTCTGGGGATCCAAGAACAGATCCACTGTCTCTGTAATAGGCATATCGTACAACACGCAAGATTAGTAGTGTTTCCTTTTAAGTCAGAGGACTTTTGCCTGAGAGGTGAGAACAACAACAACATACAAATAAGCCAGATCTGACAAATGGATGTACACGCAAAACTCTCCTGGAAGAAGACCAAAGTCCAGAAACAGACTCCTGATTAGGGTCACTGTTAGTCAGATTTTCAATTCACACCTTAACACCCTAATACTATTGGACTTTTCTGGGAATTCCCTACAAAATCTTGTAGCCCCCGAGATGGGATAACATAACAGAATAACAGCTCTCTCGCCTCATGCACTTTCATATCCAAGGAGTCACTTATATCCTGTGCCCATCTTCTTGTTGGTCAGCCCCTGCCCTTCCTTCCTGGCACCATTATTTTTTCCAGTCTGGTGTGGCGTTTGATATGAGCGAAAAATTTCAGCTTCCGAGACAAGATGCTGTTTATTAGCCAATCTTCCTTGATGTTCAGATCTTTGAATGTCATTGTTTCTTCTCCTCTGTGTCCTTGGTATTCTGGTAATCTTTTTAAAAAATTTCAGCTCAAAAGCCCTTATTTTCTTTCTTAAATGCTGGGAGACGATACTCCATGATTCACATTCCCTTGTTGCTACATGGTAGTTGCCTACTCTCATACTGAAGTTGTATTATTCTTCTTCTTCTTCAGCATTCCGAGCCATTGAGGATTATTGCTGCAGATATCACCTGCCTCCATTCATCTCTCTGGTTGGCTTTCTCTTTCCAGTTTATGACACTAAGTGTTTGCAGGTCTGATTGGATATTTTCTCTCTATCTCTTCTTGGTCTGCCTCGTGGTCAATGACCATTCATCTCCCTGGTCTATATAGTTTTCACTTCTCTGTCATCTGACATTCTTTCAATATGCCCCAACCATTTCATTCTATTATCAGCTCTCATGATGCCAGTGATCAGTCGTACTATTATAATTTTTGAATGTCAAAATGTCCCATAAGTTTCCACACATAAGAAAAATACACATATCACCAACACCTTTACAAGCATAACTTCAGCTGTGCTTTTTTAAGTTTTTCAGCCATGGAGGATACACATGGAAATGTGCTTTCAAAACAGTGGTGGTCATTTAGAGCTTATTATATAAATAAAAAAGTTTTCGTAAATTTGTGAATTTTTTTCTGTATGTAAACTTCTGGGATAACCTGAAAGTCACAAAAAGGATTGTATTTCAGTCAAGTTTGTGTGTGTGGGTATGATGTCACAGACTTTTTAATTTGTTCTGCCGACTACCTCACAGTATTTTGGAATTGCACAGCAACACAAATAATGTTTAAAAAAAAAATAATTATTTCCCAAACACAGGTGGCTGACCGCTGCTTTGACAACAAAATGTACGAGGCTGCAAAGCTGCTGTACAACAATGTATCCAACTATGCCAGGTTGGCCATCACCCTGGTGCACCTGGGAGAGTACCAAGGAGCTGTGGACTGTGCACGCAAGGCCAACAGTACCAAGACCTGGAAGGAGGTCAGCAATAGATTAACTGTTCATGTTACTAACTGTGTTAACTATTTTTAGTCCATTCATTTATCATTTAAAGGTTTAAAGTCGAGAACACTGACTTCATTTGACCAGGTTTTAACCCGGGCAGCAAACGCCTGCAGAAGTCGGATGTATTTTCCGAAAAATGCAAATATTGCAGCCATGTTGTGAACGCTCACAGTGCATTTACATCTTTAGATGTATGCAGAAGAAGAAGAAGAAGAAAAAGATTTGACTGGGTTTTGTCCTATATCTCCCCCCGCAGAATGGCTTGCCAAAAGTGCTCCACAAAGCATGAACTTTATAGCTCCAGCGACAATCCCCCGGGGTCTCCATAGAAATTGCACCCGTGAACTGAATGTCTGTGATATGAAACCACGACCTTCAGAGTGGGAGGCAAATGGTTTGTTTATCATAACAGATGTCTGAGACAAGATAAGTTGAGAAATGTATATAACTATGAAAGATCCAATAAATGTGGTGGTGTGTTGCTTGGTTATTTTTTTTTTTTTAAATGTGCAGTCTCCACAGTCTCCCTATGGTGTGACTCTCATACCATTTTCGTACCATTTTTCAAGCTGTCCACGGCGGGGAATGAACCTTAGTACTCGAGGATCGTGAAATTGTTAACCAAAAACAAATTCACTAACCTGTAAACCACAGATCAGTTGGTATTGAGTTAAAAAAAAAGTTAAAGGGCTCCTTTCCCACCGTAGACACATGGGGCACACCATAGGAATATGATTGTAGGTTTAAATTTGTATGGTTCACGTAGCACTCAATGAGTGATGGTACACCTACACGTCGGCCGCCTTCACTTCCCAGGACTTTACTTGGGAGCAATTTTAGGCTTCATGGACCTCGCAGCTCTGGTCATTTAAACAAGAATCTGACTCAAGGCAGATTTGAACCCGAGTGAGACCTTCAGGCAGGCAGACAAGCAAGCATCTGGCCACTACCACGGATCCCTTTAACCGTTTTGCTATATATTTATAAATGGTGACATGAACCCGAAAAGTCTCAAGAAAATCTGTAAGTAATCAAAAATTTTACGCCGACACTTGATGTGTAAAAATAATGTTGTTATTTCTGAAAATGTGAAGGAGAGTAGCCAGTTAACATAACGTGAGTAAATAATTAACCTAGAACATGAGAAAATAAAACACATCTTATGACTCATAGCGTGATTATATCGGGATTCTAACACCAAGTGAATGGGACAGTTATGTTAAAAATTGCTTTAAAAAAGCCATTTTGATCACTGTATCCTCTCTTTTCTCCCCCCCCCATCCCCAATACTATTTTAGTAACAATGATCCTGGCTTCCTAAATACAGCACAGGTGCAAACAGAACCATTGTCATTAACTAGGTTTCTGAAGGAAAGGCCGGTGTAGAATTGCAGGGTAAGCGGAGTTTATGGGATTGAGCCACTGCTGGATTGTGGCTTCTCTGGGTGAAATGTTAAATACATTAAGCCCCTGGTAATCCCTGATGATGTATTCATGTTATTTAAGAAATTCTCACTGTTCACTGCTCTTGAAACCGACAGGTCTGCTTTGCTTGTGTTGACAATGGAGAGTTCCGGCTGGCCCAGATGTGTGGCCTACATATAGTAGTGCATGCTGATGAGCTGGAGGAGCTCATCAACTACTACCAGGACAGAGGCTACTTTGAGGAGTTGATACAGCTGTTGGAGGCTGCTTTAGGTGAGTTCTTCCCCTCTTTCCTCCTTGGCGGCAGTTTCTTGGTGTCGAGTCTCAGGGGTCTGCAGGAATCACCACCATCACACAAGAGAAATTAGGTCATAATGGCTGACATAGGACCAGTTCTGAATTACATAAAGAGACAGCAGTTGACATAGTTTTGTCTACATTTTTGTTCCATGGCCCCATGCTGGAAGGGGGAGGGATATCCCCTATAAGGATTTCATGAAAGACAACTAATTAGGGGTGTTTCCTTCAAAATTGAAGTGCATCAGCCTGAGAGGCGAGGAACCAACAGTCTGCATACAAATAAGACATATAAGTGAAATGTATGTGCATGCAAAACCTCAAGTTCTGGAATAAAGACCAGAAGAGGAGGAATAACCAGTTTTCAGCCGGGAGTTTACAGCGGGTGAATGCGAAGAAGAGCCCACTGGGGAAGAAAGGCTTGTTATGCCTTACCGCATAAGGTACATATACACGCACGCATGCATGCATGCTTGCATACACACTTATTTTACCCATTGTATCTTCATTTAATAAAAACTGCCACTTCTATCTTTATGTACTACTTTGTAAGGGTGGTGTAGAAAGAGGGACGTGAGCCTGACTGACTGATGTTCACCCCTTCCTAGGACACCACATTGAGCGATAAACACCCAGTGATACAAAGTACCACCATTCGGATGAGGATCACCCGGGGACAGGTCCCAGAAACCCCATTCACCCCGTAGGTTGGGTTATATTAGGGACCCCAGCAACAGCCAGAGTGGGGCTTTAAAACATTGGGTATCAGTCATCGTGAGCCTGAGAATTTAGGGCTGCATAGCTTGTGTCTTCGCCACTGATTGCAGATTAGGATGTTTATTTTTTTGCCCCCCTGATGTGAGAGAGGGGGAGGGGGGGGGGGTTGTCCCAAACCCGGTTCTTCCACATGAGAGCCAGATGTCACTATTCTTCTGTTAATGCGAACATGCTGTATGTTACATTGTGTGTGTGTCTAAATGAGAGCTGATGACTTGATATCATCACGCATCAGGTTTATTCCCTTGGGTAATGTATGGTTTCTGTGATTTCATCATTCCCCCACAGGTCTTGAGCGTGCACACATGGGGATGTTCACGGAGCTGGCAATCTTATACTCCAAGTACAAGCCTGAGAAGATGAGGGAGCATCTGGAGCTCTTCTGGTCTAGGGTCAACATTCCGAAGGTGGGCCATGTGTATAAATATATATGTGTATGTATACATGTAAGTGTAGGGTGGTGTATGTATATGTGTGTGTATTTAGAGGTGCGGTAGGTGATGGGTGGGCAGAGAGGAGTGGTATGTCTGAAAAAAAAGGGGCGGAGAGGGGGGGGGGGTTTAAGTGATGGATGAGCTAAGATAAGTGGTATGTCTGAAAAGGGGGGGGGGGGGGTGTTGAAGAGGTGATAGGTGATGTATTGGCAGAGGTGAGTGGTATATGTGAGGGGGGGGGGGGGGGGGTGGGGGGTGAAAAAAGGGGTGGAGGGGAATGGAAGTGATTGGCATGTGGAGATAGTGGTAAGTGATGTGTGTGATTGGGGGTTGGCTGATTGGTAAAGGGTTAGCAGCGTGTGCTTCGGTTTCCCTTTATATGCATGGATTGGGTTTTTGGCAATAGGTTTGTTGCCAATCTCATCAGTATTATACAGTAGTTTCATTACAGGCCTTCCAGATGCTGTAGTGAGCTGGGAAATACTAGATTGATAAGGAAAAGGTCATGATCCATTACAAAACTGGGACCTAGTATGTGTGAAGTTCTAAGATCATGAATACCTTGAAACCTGTTGTTCTGTTACAGGTACTGAGGGCAGCAGAGCAAGCCCACCTGTGGCCAGAGCTAGTGTTCCTCTATGACAAGTATGATGAGTTTGACAACGCTATCCTCACTATCATGGCGCACCCCACAGAGGCTTGGAGGGAGCCCCAGTTCAAGGATATCATCACAAAGGTAGGAGTTGCTTGGGTGGATGTGTGCTTATCTTTCTGTCTGTGCGTCAAATCATTTGTTGAGGTCCCAGTATCACTGCAGATGGGTCGCCCCATTACTGCTCCGTTCATGTGCCCAGTAGAAATCACAGAAAGTGTCCTTCCCTGTCCCATTTGAAAAACTAGTGTCAGCCTCAGCAAAATTCTGAAGCTTACACATGCAAAGTAAGAATGCATAAGGCAGCTGTCAAATATGCCAACACTTACAGTCCCACACCAAAATTGCATTTTGCTCTTTGTGTAAACTATGAATCTTAATAGTCGGAATTGCACCCTCGGTCACCTGCAGTTTTAGTGCAGTCAGCAGCGTGCTGTGGGCACAACAGAAACAACGCATGGCCTGCTGGGCACGTCCCTGGTGGCCCCTGGAGCATAGGGGCACTAAGCATATCTGTGTATGTCAGGTGACTTGTCATAAATACAAATGTCATTCCTATGAGTGGTTGTCGAGGGTGCCTTGGCACTGATTTTTCCAGACACCTCTGTCTGTGGTTGAGGTGTTTCTTTTGTTTTATAAAAGGCTTGGGTTCGTTTCATATACTGTGTTGTTTGGTTCACTAACTTCTGTTGATAAGAAGACAGTCTGATTTATGGATTTCTGTAGAAAGGATTACTTTTTTTTTACTTCATGAAATGTTGGTGTAATTAGTGTTGCTGCTGAAGATGGGGACACAGTGTTTATGAGAATGTCCAGCTGAGATGTTGGTTCTTAATTCAACATTGAACATTAATTTAACTTTGTAGTAATGAGAAAATAAGATATGTTACCTAAATCTTAAATTAGAACTTTATTGTTTCTGTGTGAGAAGGGAATAAACAGCAAAACAAGACATGTTCACCTTACTTACATGTGATCAAATATAATGTGTCTGCCAAATGTGTTTTTCCCACCAGGTTGCAAACATAGAGCTCTACTACAAAGCCATTCAGTTTTACTTGGAGTTCAAGCCCATGCTGCTAAATGACCTGCTCCTGGTTCTGACCCCGAGGCTGGACCACACACGAGCTGTCAACTATTTCATCAAGGTAGGTCCTGCAGTACTTTTACTATCTAGGGTAATGTGTGCCTACTATTACATGCTAGATTAATTAATGTAGGTCTAATGTTACATGCTAGGCTAATGTGGGCCTACTGTTACATGCTAGGCTAATGTGGGCCTACTGTTACATGCTAGGCTAATGTGGGCCTACTGTTACATGCTAGGGTAATGTGAGCCTACTGTTACATGCTAGAGTAATGTGGGCCTACTGTTACTTGGTAGGGTAATGTGGGCCTACTTTTTACCTGTGTTTATTTTATCAATATGGGATTTATTTATATCAGTAACCTAAGTTTTATTTGATCAGTTACTTGTGTTTGCTTTATCAATAATGTTTTTTTTTCTCTTTGTCAGTAACTTGTGTTTATCAGTAATGGTTCATTTTTCTGTAACCCACGTTTAATTGATCAGTAACCTATGTTAATTTTTATCAATAACAGGTTTATTTTTGTCAGTAACCCAAGATTTATTTGATCAGTAACCCGTATTTCTCATCTCCTAATGGCTGCAGGTGAACCAGATACCCCTAGTGAAGCCCTACCTGAGGTCCGTACAGAAGAACAACAACAAAGCCATCAACGAGGCCCTCAACAACTTGTTTATCGAGGAGGAGGACTACCAAGGACTCCGGGCTTCTATTGACGCCTACGACAACTTTGACAACATCACGCTGGCACAGCGCCTGGAGAAGCATGAGCTCATTGAGTTCCGCAGGATTGCAGCTTACCTGTACAAGGGCAACAACCGCTGGAAGCAGAGTGTGGACCTTTGCAAGAAAGACAAGCTTTTCAAGGTGGGCAAGTTGACTTTCTTTCTTTGTCTTTCACTGTGTTTTCCTTTCTCTGTCTACCTTTCTTTCTGTCTCCCTGTGTGGGTTGCAGGGTCCCTTTAAAGTGGTTGAGAAATGGCATAAATCCTGCATTGTTATGGTTTGGAGAGAATGGACACAACTGGAGGGCTCAAATCAATCTGTGACTGGGATTGGCCAACAAACACTCTCCACTTGGAGGAAAGGCAAGATGGACATATACATCAAACTGTTACTGGCACCATGATTTGAAACTCTTCTTCGCTGTCTGCTGAAGATGGGGATGAAGCATTTATGGTAATGTCCCAAGTGCTATGATGTCTTTTCTAAACTCGGCTCAGCTTATTTGGCAGGATTCCGTATCTGAGTAAGTCTTTCCAGTCTCCCGCTTCTCCTCTTCCCTCTACAGATCCTTTTAGTATTATTTAGCTAGGCTGGCAGATCTTATTACATCTCTGTACCATTAGTCTTAGTCGAGGTTTCAACTTCACTGCAATCAGGTTTCCCCACATTTGCTCCATTCCTTTGCTAAATGAAATGCCCCTCACTGTCCTATTTGAAAAAAACTGGTGAACAGTTAGTCCTGGCACAATCCAGAAGTATGCGGATGCAGTAAATGCATACAGTAGCTGCTGGAAGTGCCAGAAAGAAGTCTCTACCAGAAATGCAGTCGTTAATGGAAGTAGTCGGGCATGACAAGTTGGCTATACATTTAGAATTATTACATATGTATTTCACCAGCCCATATGTAAACTGACTAGCGGCCATACAACGACTCAGCCGGTGCACAAGGCATTCCACAGAAGAAAAAAAAAAGTTCACAGGGCAGCATCAAGCACTAAACTCAGTAGCTCAGGTAGCAAAACCGTAGCCTACCGTCCATATGTGAAAACTGCTTTAGCAAAGCGCTGTCTGAAGCAAAAATAACTTCGAAGCTTAACATTCTGCCGTGCCTAGTCCTCTAGTTTTGACCGTAAGTCATGTATTGATGTCTGTACCATAAATAATTTAAACTTATTGTGTGCATTAACTAGCGGCTCTACAGTTGCAGCGTTCTCACAAATAAAATGTCTGCCCTCACCAGGATGCCATGACCTATGCTGGAGAGTCACGCCAGATTGAGATTGCCGAAGACCTCATCTCCTGGTTCCTGGAGAATGGAAACCACGAGTGCTTTGCGGCCTGTCTCTTCCAGTGCTACGACCTCTTGAGGCCTGACGTTATTCTGGAACTGGCATGGAGGCACAACATCATGGACTTTGCTATGCCTTATATGATCCAGGTCATGAGGGAATATACCTCCAAGGTAAATAAATGTGGCCTGGTTGTTGTCTTATTGTTCAGTAACATTTCTGTCTTTCTTTTCCCTTAATTATGTCTAATCTTATCCTTGTTTCTCTATCTCTCTCTTTCTCTTCCCTTAATTATGTATTATCTCATCCGTATTTCTCTCTCTTTCTCTCTCTTTCTCTCTCTCTCTCTCTCTCTCTTTCTCTCTCTCTCTCTCTCTCTCTCTCTCTCTCCCCCCCCCCCCCCCCACCCCACCTTTCTTTTTGTCTGTCTGCCTTATTGTTTGTTTGTTTCTTTCTTTCTTTCTGTTCTTTTCTCTTCTTTAATCTTTCATTATTTCTTAATCTGTCTTGTTTTCTGTTTAATTATGTCTTTAGTCACCCCCCCCCCCCCCCCCCCCCCAAACCCCTTTTTTTTCTTTTCTCCCCTCTTTTTTTCCTGTTTACTGTTCCTATTTGTTGGGTGTCTTATTACATGCTACAGCGTCCATTAGTTTTGAAGTCTGCTGAGATCAGTTTTACTAGAACTGTGTATGTGCATGCCGTGCACCTGTGAGCACATAATTCCTGGATACGTGTTTCTCATTCTGTCAACTGTGTGTATGTGCATGCCGTGCACCTGTGAGCACATAATTCCTGGATACATGTTTCTCATTCTGTCCCTTGTGTGTATGTGCATGCCATGCACCTGTGAGCACATAATTCCTGGATACGTGTTTCTCATTCTGTCACCTGTGTGTATGCGCATGCCGTACACATGTGAGCGCATAATTCCTGGATACGTGTTTCTCATTCTGTCCCCTGTGTGTATGGGTGCCCTTGTTTGTTTGTTTATACACACCCTCAGGGTTCTAGGAAGAGTTCACTGCAGTTTTGAATGTCTCTCTTCAGGTGGACAAGTTGGAACAGTCCGAGTCCGTGAGGAGTGAGGAGGAGCAGAAGGCGGAGGAGAGACCTATTGTATTGAGTGAGTATAAGTTTAAAATGATTTGACAGTTAAACATCTTCATCTTCTGATTTTCTAGCCCCCGATGGAGCATTTGCCCTCAACCAACTCAAGTCGCTCTGTCCGTTGCTATCACATGCAGCTCCCCCTATGTCCTCACCATCTTTCTAACTTAATTCTCCAGCTCCCTTCTCTATGTGTTTTTTTTGCCTTCCTTTATTGCTAAGCCCCTGTTGGTTCCAAAGCAAAGACATTCTAGTTATATTGTTCTTCCCATTTTCTCAATGTGTGTCATATCCAACGCGATGTGAGTATTTTTGTAGGAAACTCCTGTCTGTACACAAACATTGAGTGTGAACAACGTTAAGGGGAGTTCAAGAACTGCCTTGGACCTGGAGGGATCTGTGTGTCCTACGATTGCAAACAATAAGGAGATAATCTACATTCTTTGATCATGTCATGAGGATAAAACTAAAGTACATAGTGAGGGTGAGAAAGTTGGAAGGAAGAAGAAGCAGAGGGAGACTGGGAGAGTAAATGCTGGGCAGTTTGACATAATTGCATGGAAGATCATCTTTGTCAGAGTTGGTAGAACGTACACGAGACGGAGGGTTGTGGATAGACATGACTACCGAAATTACATGGCATGTTCTATGAGAAGAAGAAGAATGTTATAGTTGATAGCAGTAACTTCATTGCACCAGGTTTTTGTCTTAGACGGTTGGGTCTCTTTCTGCAGAACGGTTAGCTGCCAAGAGTATCACACAATCAGGCAAGAATGGGTTACAGCACCAAGCATTTCACAAATATCTGCCCTTACCTTCATCTTTGTGCCAGGTGATGCAGGTGTTCAAGGGACCGAGCGTGCAGACTATCTTGTTGACACTGTGGTTGCTATGGCTTGTCCAGTACCGGACAGAAGTGATGTTATCAATGCTGTGTGCTGTGCTTACCGTACCGAGGAGCACGCCAAAGGGCATGACTTCGTATCTCTGTCTAGGCTGATGGACATGGGGTTACAGCCTGGAGCTGCAAGAAATGAACATTTCACTTAGGGGACAAAACATTTCATTGACCAAAACAAAACAGGCATCAGTCGTTTTACACTTGTGGAGCTTTTGAGGAGATCGGAGCACCTATGGATCTGTCCGGAGTAAAAAAAAAAAGAAGTAAAGATCCCTTTTCACGCCTTTAGGCGCATCGGGCATATGGGAAGAGCACCCATATTTTTACAGACCAATTGGCACTCGGTGGGTAATGTGGTCAGCATTACGACAGCCGTCTTTACTTCCCAAGGACAGCCATCCTGGTACCCATTTGAGGCTGGGTCAACCTGCGCTGTCCTGAGTGCTGTGATGATAATCCTTTCTATTCACTAATAACTAATCACTAGCATCACACAAAGCACAATCAGCATAGCTGCAGCAACTATCTCCCTAAAAAACTGAACTAGCATACTCAATGATGTGTCAGTGAAATAGACAGTGTAATAGAACTAGTGTACTTAATGATGTGTCAGTGAAATAGACAGTATAATAGAACTAGTGTACTCAATGATGTGTCAGTGAAATAGACAGTAAAATAGACAGTGTAATAGAACTAGTGTACTCAATGATGTGTCAGTGAAATTGACAGTAAAATAGACAGTGTAATAGAACTAGTGTACTCAATGATGTGTCAGTGAAATAGACAGTGTAATAGAACTAGTGTACTCAATGATGTGTCAGTGAAATAGACAGTGTAATAGAACTAGTGTACTCAATGATGTGTCAGTGAAATAGACAGTGTAATAGACAGTGTAATAGAACTAGTGTACTCAATGATGTGTCAGTGAAATAGACAGTGTAATAGAACTAGTGTACTCAATGATGTGTCAGTGAAATAGACAGTGTAATAGAACTAGTGTACTCAATGATGTGTCAGTGAAATAGACAGTGTAATAGAACTAGTGTACTCAATGATGTGTCAGTGAAATAGACAGTGTAATAGAACTAGTGTACTCAATGATGTGTCAGTGAAATAGACAGTAAAATAGAACTAGTGTACTCAATGATGCGTCAGTGAAATAGACAGTGTAATAGAACTAGTGTACTCAATGATGTGTCAGTGAAATAGACAGCTTGACCTCTTCGCCAGGGAGACCATGTTGAGGTTGGCCTCTCCTACAATATACAGATGTGTGCAAATGGGATATGAATTATACAGGTATTGAGGTGGATGCTTGGAAACATGGACCTTGTTGCCTGGACAGGAAAATCTTGAAGAGAATATGGATAAATGAAAAAAAAAAAAACATGATTGCAGATAGGTTAGGAGCCTGAAAAGATGAAGGCTAAAATAAGAACAGACTTACTGCTTTTCCAACAAGCATGTCATAGGAGTGGACTAACTGGGGGCTTCCTTCGAAGTTAGAGTGCATCTGCCTGAGAAGCAAGAAACCAACAGTCGGCATACAAATAAGCCAGATTAATCAAATGGATTTGCATGCACCACTCAGGTTCTGAAACAAGGCTAAAGTCTAGAAGGGGACGAACAACAAGAACTTTCCGCCTGAGTTTACAGACGGTGAACAAGAAGAAGAAGGTGGAAAAAATACATGTGATAGCAACAGTGTTCCTGAAATCCTGTGCTGCAACTGTGAAAGACTGGTCTTAGCATGAGCAGGTCTTGCTAGTCTCACTTCCCACCTCCTTGGACTGTCAAACCCAAACCTGCCTGTGCCACAGTGTAACAACGAGTCACATCTGGTTTGAAGTGTTGACAAAATGCTGTCTGATTGTCAACTTTTATGGCTGCTTCTTGATGCTGTCCTTCTTTTTTACTTCCTCTTTTACTAGTTCAAGTGTCGAGGGGAAGATACACTGTTGTGTTTCTGTTCTGGTGGCTTTGACTATAGACACATTATGGTGTGGTAGAGTTTCTCTGATATTATCTTTCCATCTTAGTCTTTATCTGCCTTGTTCCTCGTGTGGGTTCTGGGGCCCGATTGTGGGGGGGGGGGGGGAAATAAGAATAGACCCACTGCCTCCCCGACAAGCATGTTGTAGTAGTTGACAAATTGGGGTCACCCTTCGAAGTCAGAGTGCATCTGCCCGAGCGACAATGAACAACCAACTCGCACACAGATAAGCCAGTAAAACAGATGTACATGCAAAACTTTGGCCCTGGCACAAAGCAAGTGCAAATAGACAATCAGGACATTATGCTGGAGCTTACAGCCAGTGAACAAAGAAGAGAAAAGAATCTGCCTTGTGCTGTACATCCTTCTGTTTACTGTATACCTTACATGGTTTGACATCACAAGACTTTCTCTGTAAGTGGCCAAACCATTTGATTTTCTGTGTTTGTGTGTAATTTAGAATGGGTTCAGTGCCAGCTTGTTTGCTGTCCTGCTGTAACTAATATAGCCACTCTTGCTGACTTCCTTCACAGCTGAACCCCAACTGATGCTCACAGCTGGACCCATGGGAATACCACCTCAGACCGGCTACGGTTATGGAGCGATGCCTGGCTACGGTTATGGTTACAACATGTAGACAGATCCGGTCTCAGAAATTCTGAACACCCAAAGAACTTCGCTGTGTTTGGAGCTTGTGAATCCTTGTGGTGGTGGTGGTGATGATGATGATGCAGCCATAGGAGAGATGCTGTTTTGGGAGGGTGGAGCTCAGGGATACAATATCAAATATCTGCATTCCACTGGAATGGCCATCAGTTTTTGTTTCGTTTCTTTTTTGTTTTATCTTAAAGTGGCGTTTTTATTTTCGATTTTAATTATTGTAAAGAGGGGAATACAATTCTGGTTTGGCTCCCAGAATACCTGTCCATTAACTGTTGTTGCTACACACTGGCCAGACTCAAACCTGGATAGGCTGAAGAATTTGTTTTGGGTTTAATTTAAAAATAAACCTGAGCTGCCCCACCATCAGTGTCTCTCTCTCTCTCTCTCTCACCACTTGTCTTTTGTTTCGGGGAAGGGGGGGGGGGGGGGGGTACCGGGCTTGCATGTGGTTTTCTGTAGTTATCGACATGGTTATCAATATTATCATCCCATCATTTACGCAGAAGGTG